AAGGAGTTGACTACACTGAGATCTTTGCTCCAGTTGTAAAGCTCAATACTATCAGGACTGTGTTAAGTATTGTGGCTAGTGAAGAGCTCTACCTAGAGCAATTAGACGTGAAGACTGCATTTCTTCACGGAGACCTAGATGAGGAGATCTACATGCACCAACCTGAAGGTTTTTCAGAAGAAAAGAAGGATATGGTGTGCAAATTAAAAAAGAGCTTATACGGCCTGAAATAAGCTCCTAGACAGTGGTATAGGAAGTTCGAAAGCTTTATGCACAAGGAAGGTTTCCAGAAGTGCAATGCTGATCACTGTTATTTCTTCAAGAGGTATAAGTCCAGCTATATCATATTGCTACTTTATGTTGATGACATGTTAGTAGCAGGATCAGATATGAAAGACATCAGAAATTTAAAGATGCAGTTGTCAAAAGAATTTGACATGAAGGACTTAGGCCCAGCAAAGAAGATTCTTGGAATGCAAATCACGAGAGATAAGCAAAAAGGAGTTTTGAAGTTATCTCAGGCGGAGTACATCAACCGTGTTTTGCACAGATTCAACATGGATAAGGCCAAGCCAGTTAGTACACCTTTGGCCAGTCATTTTCGTCTATCCAAGGATCAGTCCCCTCAAACGGAGGAAGAAAGAAACTTCATGGCTAAGATTCCATATGCTTCAGCCATTGGAAGTTTGATGTACGCAATGGTATGTACTAGGCCAGACATTGGCCATGCAGTAAGAGTTATAAGCAGGTTTATGGCAAATCCAGGAAAAGCTCATTGGGAAGCAGTCAAGTGGATTTTGAGGTATCTACAAGGCACAACAAAGAAGTGTTTGTACTTTGGAAAAGGAGAATTAAAAGTACAAGGCTATGTAGATGCAGACTTCGGAGGTGAAGTTGATCACCGAAGAAGTACCATCGGTTACATTTTTACTGTTGGTACTACAGCTGTCAGTTGGATGTCGCGGATACAGAAGATTGTTGCTTTATCCACTACAAAAGCTGAGTATGTAGCAGTAACAGAAGCCAGTAAAGAGTTGATATGGCTTCAAGGTTTGTTAACAGAGCTGGAATTCATCCAAGAGAGGAGTGTTTTGCACAGTGACAGTCAGAGTGCAATACATCTGGCAAAAAATTCAGCATTTCACTCTAGAACCAAGCACATTGATATACGTTATCACTTCATCAGATCTTTGCTTGAGGATAAGGTGCTGACATTGAAAAAGATTGTAGGAAGCAAGAACCCAACAGACATGCTAACAAAGGTGATGACCATTGACAAATTGAAGTTGTGTTCAACTTCAGTTGGCCTGCTAGAATAACAGATCATGAAAAGACTGCTGCATTGATTGAAGTGTGAAGACAGATTGAAATCAGTCTTCAAGTGGGAGATTGTTGAAAAGTCAAAAATGGTGTGCCAATTTTCGGTACCTAACATTCGGTTGAATGTTAGCGTTTTCGGTGCCAAACGCGTTGCGAATTCGGTGCCAACGCGTTTTGTTGAAAATCAAACGTTTCATTTGCCTATAAATACGAAGCTCTTCCATCCATTCTAAGCATCCCATTTCTGAGAGAACAACTGAAAATATTCAGAGAGCAAAAACAGAGAAAATAATTTAGCTTCTGGTACAATTGGGTTACAGGTTGTGAGTCATTTTTGAGTGTTTTGTAAACATTGAGTGTATTCCCTTTTCAGTAATATATCTGCAGCAGTCCGGAGACGTAGGCATTATTGGCCGAACTCTGTTATCAATTTTGTGTGTGCAATATTCCACATTTATTTTTCATTTCCACAAATCTGACATTACAAGAGAATTCAGCGTAATTTTCCCAACAGTGACTCCTAGCAAGGAATGAATCTAGGTAATTACCTGATAAAACTTTTGTAGATGATATGCTTATCGTTTTCTTTATTAATTGTTATATATTATTTCCATTCAAGTACTTTAATCTTTTAAAAAAAATAGATTAATCTTCAAAATTAAGAGTATGTGACTAAACATTTCTCTTTCTTTTAGAAAGAACAAGCTTCACAGGAAGTACAACTTGTATTCCCTTCTCAAAGAATTGTGTTATTTATGTCATTAGTTTAAATACCTACACCATATATCTACACTTTATAACACTTGTTTATAATTATAAAAAAGAAAAAAGAAAAAGATATCATACGGTGTTCTGTTCGATCTTGCAGAGCAGGTGCCACCATCTAAAAATATTTCAACATGACTATTTGCAGAAATGATTAATTAAGACTAAAGTTAAAAGTTGCCAATTGCCAACCTCTCTGCGTGTCGTGACTGTTGTCTGCTTCGACACTGTGAACCCGAGTAGAATATGCTGCTCCTCATCCTCATGCTTTCACTATATTTCATATATCTCTGATTCAAACATTGTTTTGAATCGATATTTATGTTTTTGTGCTTGATTCGGGTTAAATTTTGATATATGAATAATTAATCAATTGTCAAATGTACTTACCACTTTAATACACTTCTCTGTAAACTACCTTTTGGAAAAAAAGTGATAACTTTGCTGAAAATTAACTTGTATTCGCTTCTTAAAATATTCCAAATAAATTCATTTCAGCAGGAATGTTTTCCTCTTAGTTTTTGTTTTCTGGGACGACTGTACTGAAGAGACTGATCTCCATATAGAATATATGAAAATATAAAGCTCATATAATTAAAAATATTTAATTTTTGTAGCAATTATTTAAAAAATTACACTTCAAGTAATTTTTAATTAGTTGAGTGTAAAAAAGTTATTTTGATGATATACCAAAATTAAACCCTAACCAATATTAAGCTTTTGATTGCCTATCGATCCAATGTAAAATTCTCATTTAGTTGTCTCCTTTATTACATTATTTAGTATAAATATTACAGTAGTTACACCTTTTCTATTTTTTTTAATTCTCAATAAGATAATTGATCTTTAAATAGATAATTAATAAGAGTATTTTATGATTCTTAATAAAATTATAGTTACCTAAACATATTTTTATGCAAACTGAAAGGTATCTTGTTCCTGTAAACTATAAAAGTATCTAAAAAATAAAGAAACATGACATTTTATATTATTTTACATTTATTAATTAACTTAAAACTATGTTTTAAATATTTTTAATTTAATATATAATTTTATATAATAATACTTTTAAACCAAAAAATAATTTGTATTTAACTTATTAATTATTTTAATATTTTTGCAAATTCAACATTATATAATCAATAATTTATCTTTCAAAAGTTTATGTCCATCTAATATACTTTAAACTACTTAACACTACTAGATTGTGAATAATTTATTCGCCGCCATCAAATAATAAACAATGATCCCATTTAACTTAATTGTTAATTTTTATTTATATAATTAAATAAATGATATAATTAAATTTATAAAGAAAAAAAATGAAATAATTAATAGATAAACGAAATAAAATGTGGTCTCGCTGTTATGCAGTAAAGCATTCCTCGTGGTGATGCACTTAATTTAATTATATTAAATTTAAGCTTTAAATTTATATTATTTAAATAAATAAAATTTAAATATGTTTATCGATATACCTAGCTTAACCAGCATTGCATATGAATTTACGGTCTCTAATTGTCACCTTAATTTTCAACTTTTATCTTTAGACGACATTTGAATCTTTAATATTTTTATCAGGATAATTCAAAAAAAAATTGAAGTTATCAGTTTCTTGTTTATTGGGTTCATCTTCCTTTTCATCATCTATTAAGCTATATAACAAATAAGTGTCTTAATTATTATTTTAATAACTTTTATACTCTCGTTATTATTATGTTAAAAAGTTATATTAAATCTATATCTATGTAATACTAAAAATATTATAATATCTTTTTGTTGAAAACTTCATAAATGCCCCTTTCCGCTTCCCTTAATTTGTTATTTTACCTTTTAAAATAGATAAGGAAAAAAAAATTAATACATAGATAATGTGAAATTAAAAAAGGGGATCATTAGAAATTAAATATTAAAAAAAATAAAAATGTGAGATAAATAAAATAATAAAAATTACAAATAAAATATAAAAGTAAATAAGCATAAGAACAGGAAGAATATTAATTTTCGAACTAGCGGCAATAATCAATAAAATAGTACTTATCTTCTTGCTAGTTACTACGTTTTATGATAATGAAAATTTTACAATTATAATTAATTTTACATTTTATGATAATGAAAATTTTACAATTATTAATTATATAAATTATTATACAAAATATTTTTAATAAAAATATATTCATTAAAAGTATAATTTTAAGTAATTGAATTTTTAAAATTTTTAAACATTTTAAGACAAACTAAAATACTAAACAAACAGATAACATGAGACAAAGTGAACATTATTTATTATATCGTTCTCGTTGTTATTGTTAGAATAATTTATTTGAATAAGCATTTTAATTTGATTTTTTACTTTTATGTTTTATTTTAAATTTAATTAGAATACATTAATAATAGTACTTTAAATATTTTAAATTGAAATCCCTGTTGCACTCTCCTTATATTCCCAACAAATTAATTGGACTTCCCATTTTACCATTTTATATGTTACATATACCCATTGTCTCTCGCACACATACACTTGGACACACGTATATAATATCATACTTTTATATTTGTAAAAATATTTATATATATTTTTTTATATAAGTATCTCACATTTATAATTTTCTATCAACTAATATTTTTTATATTTAATAAATCCCAATTTACCTAGTTGTTGATAATAAGACTTTATACATCCATAAATTTGGTGTATATAAATTTAAATTTTCACGTGTCGCATCATTTTAAAAATTGAGTCACATAATTTATCCGTAAAACCCCATAATTTCAAGATTAGCTAAATTAATCTAGATTAGATAATTCTTTTGACTATAAATAAAATTTTATGGATGGTGACACAAAAGTACCATGATACTAAATATTAGAACTGGAATGAATTAAAAATTTATAAGATTTATTTGTGTGACAACTTACATATATAAAACTGCAAATTATTTTTATACATATAAACACAACAACTAATTAAGCATCAATGAATGGTACACATAAAAGCAAATTAAACTAAAGAAAACAGCTTATTTTAATTTATAATGACATTTGCTGGGCCAAGGAATTCTATTTGCGTCCCTTTGATATGAGAGAAGGTATGCTCTGTTCGTTTCTGAAGAAGTTGAGAGGATCAACCTTGGTCTTCACCCTTGCCAATCTGTTGAAGTTGTTGTTGAAATACTTAAGACCCCAAATGCTGGCTTGGCTATAGCTTGTGTAGCCATTGTTATTTACACCTATGTCAAGGTCTCTATAATTCAAATATGCAGCTCTAGGAGACTTTGAAACATAAGGTTCCATATAACTGTAGAGTCTTCTCATCCAGTTGATGTGCCTTTCTGCTGCCTCATTCCCTTCCTCTTGCCAATAAACCTGGTGCTGAATGTGGAATATGTTTCCAGATCTGTGTGGGAATGGAATTTCAGAGTCCGAAATCTCATCCATTCTCCCTCCATAAGGAGTGAATTGAACCACTGCAGTTTCAATCCCTTCTTCATAAAGCATTGGCCATAACCCTTCTAACCCATCTTCAGGAATTGGATCTCTCACATAATCAGATTTTGATTTGAAAAAACTCACACCACCCCTTTGAGTTCTGTTCAACAAAACTTCTGGTGGTTGACCATTTGTGAATCCAGCCATGTATAGAACTGACCCTATCCAACTCATCTCAGTACAATCTTCTCTCACCAAACCCAACTCTGGGAAGCTATTTTGCATCAAGGGTATGAGTTGATCTACACCTCCAAGAAACATGGACTCAAACGAGGCTCGTATTGTTTGCTCTCCATTTTGACTTGAATTTACACTTTCCATGTTGATCCTAATGGTCAGGCCTTGATCAAGTTTATTTGCCACAAGTTGCCACTTTTGAATAAGCATGGTTGCATTCTGTTCCAATGTTCTTGGAACATTGAACACTGTCACAGTTGATGGAACTGCCACTAGTTTTATCTTCCAAGCCAATATGACTCCAAAGCTTGCACCTCCTCCTCCTCTAATGGCCCAAAACAGATCCTCACCCATGGATTCTCTATCAAGAACCCTACCATTAACATCAACCATGTGAGCATCAATCACGTTATCAGCAGCAAGACCATACCTGCGCATCAAGAATCCGTAGCCACCACCACTGAAATGGCCACCAATTCCCACGGTGGGGCACACACCTGCAGGGAACCCTAGTGTTTGGCTTTTCTCGCTAATCCTATAGTAAAGTTCACCAATAGTTGCACCAGATTGAACCCATGCAGTGCTGTTTTCCACGTCCACTTCGATTTCTCGAAGGTTTAGGAGGTCAAGGATCACAAAGGGAACCTCGGAAACGTACGAGAGACCCTCGTAATCATGGCCTCCACTCCGAGTTCGAATCTGCATGCCATGGCGTTGGGAACATATTATGGTAGCTTGAATATGGGAAACTTCTCGTGGTGTCACGATGACAAGGGATTTTGAAGTTGTGTTGGTTGCGAATCTAAGGTTTTGAATGGAGAAATCTAGTATAGAGGAGTACGAGGAGTTGGTTTGGGTGTAAACAACGTTTGAGATTGTGGTATTGTGGGAATAATTGTTAAGACATTGAACGAACTTTTCATGATTATCAGCTGAAGAAAATGGGAATGAAAATAAAAGAGCAATGGCAAAAACGGTAAAATATGAGCTTAGAGGGATCATTTTTGGTTGATGGTGTTTGTGAAAATGAGAGGTTGCGATTTGAGAAATGAGAAATCTCTTATTTATAGTACTCAGGAGTTCAATTTGTCATTTAAGTTTCGTAAGTGTGGACATTAGATTTAGATTTGTCAACGCATGCTTTATCTTGCCATGAGAGGAGACATTTCAAGCACGTAAACTATTGAGATTATTCCAACAATTCGAATATAGAGAAACTTCAACCTAAAAGAAGTTCGAACGTATAATGACACAAATTGCATTTCATGCACGCGGCTGTACCATGAAATCTGGACTTCCTGATTTAGTGAATATCCTTTCGAAAGTTAAATAAGCAAATGAATTTTACAAATTGACAAATGAATAATTTTATCATCATAATTAATTATGCAGTCTAAATTTAAGATAATTTTATATCATCAATTCATTTTGAACGCATGCTATGAGTTTAACCTTAAAATATAATACCCTCTTGTGTCAAACAAATTCATTTTTATATAATTCAACGAATTAAACTTACTTTATAAGAGTTTTAAAAGTTATATTACTCCCTTGCATATATTTAGGGAGGGAGAGGAGGGATGAGGTGTAAATAATTTAAAAGTTTTTAATTTGACTTTGTTTGATATAATTAGTTTTGAATTGCTTGAAAAGATAACATTACTATTGAATTTTCAGAAGGATTATTTATTTTATTATTTTAAAATTGAATAAAGAATAGTATAATAAAAACATATAAATATTGTTTCTGAGAAAAAAGTAGTGTCATTATTTGTTGTCTTCTTTAAATAACGATAAAATATCATTTCAAATAAATAAATGTAAATTTATTTTTTTAAGTAATAGATTAATCTAAGTTTATATAATATGCTAATCTTTTTTATTTTTTATAAATAATATATACTTTTGTTTAATTTAAAAATAAAACATTTACCTTCCCCTTCCTTTTTTTTTTTAAAAAAAATTATCAACTCCTAAACATACTTTAATTTTGGATTCCATATGAAATCATATATTGCATTCCTTTTCAGGGTTTAATTATATTTGAATTATTAGGCTGTGAATTAATGCTTTGACCATTTCATTTTCTAATTTTCAAAACCTTTCTAAAAAATACTTTTGCCAAATTGTCTACATCACCAAATACACGTCCAAATAGATATTACGACCAAGAAAAACAAAATCATAAAACGTATGAGTCAAAAATATAGAAAAATCGAATTACATTTGGGATAAGGTCAAAAATATTCTTCAAGCGTGTTTTTCTTTTTCTTTTTTCTTTTCTTATCAATGATGATAAATTTTTATCAATAACCCTATCTTTACAATAAAGTGTTACATTAAGACTTCATCTTCTGCAGAGAATTAATACAATATTTAAAAATAAAAGAAATTAAAATACATTTTAAATTTTAAATATGATTACATTTAATTTTATTATTTACTTTTTATTAATTTTAATTTTTATAAAATTTAATTTTTTAAATAATATTTATTGATACTTATTTATAACGTAATATACATCTAAATATATCACATGCTAAGAAAATTGATCACTGATATAATGTGCTTAAATATGTCATTATTATTAAATGATAATAAGAATTACATTAAAAAATTTAAAATTACAATAATTAAAATGACTAAAAAATTAAAATTTAATTATATTTACAATAATTAAAGATATATTGAAATCTATAAAAAATATCTCAATGTTTGAAAATAGATAAGACCAACAACTAACTATAGTAAGATTCATTACTTTGCCTAAATCTAGTTGTTGAAAACTACAATATTTCTTTGAACTCGATCATATAGACTAAATAACAACCAACAATGCTAAGGTTCTTCTTGATTTTTTCCTTAAGAGCTCTACAGTCTAAAGCAGGGCAGACAACAAAACTCAAACATGAGTAATGCTTTATTTGAAGGATTGAAATGATAAAGAAAAAGAAATAGAACCGATATTTTAAAAGGAACAAATATTAAAATTAATTAAAAAGTGTACAACTTTTCTTATTTTTTGTATTAATTTTTTTAAAAAAATGACTTAAAAATGTAAATTTTTTATTATATTATTATTTCATTATATAAAATCATTTTTTATTTTAAATTTTTGTGTGATAATAATTATTTTTTAATAAATACCGGGTACGCAGAGCAACTAGTAAATAATTGTTCCAGTTTAATATGTGATTTTGAGTTCCGATTGAAGGGAAAATTTTATCGTCTATAATGACACTACTTAACTTAAATAAATTCAAAAATTAAAATTTTTAATAATTAAAAATAAAATAAATCCAAAATTTCCCTTATCTACGTATATTTTAAGACAATTAGAGGATATTTTTCAGTATTGTTATTTTAATACCTGGTTTAGATGTCTATACAAAATACCCTTAAAAAACTATATATATTTCAGTTGCACAGGGTATATGATATAAACACTCAAATGGGGGTTTAAAATAGCATTATTTGGGGATTTTTGTAAATAGACACATTTGGAGAAAGGAATTACAATGCAACCAAACGAGCACAGGAATACCAAAGTTCATTCCTTCCCATTTAGTTCGTTCTTATTTGAGTTGAAATAAAAGTGTGAGACAACACCACACCTGGGTTGCAATTCTACTAGAGAAAAATAAATATGAAGATGCCTGTGACATAATATTACATGTGGGTTTATTTTATTTTATAAGATCCAAAACAATCGTAAAATATAAACATTTTTTCACTTTTTTTGGTACTTTCCCCACTGCTAGAATTCGCAGCAAAATAGCAAAATTCCAGTAGTCACTGCTAGGCATCATCTTTTTCTCTATGGAAGCTCACCGAATTAACAGAATGGCATAAAGTCTGGTTATAAATTACAAGCGAAAGCTAATAAAAATTTTGTGTCAAAATTAAATGTCAACATATATTTGTCCATTTTTTTCAATTTTAAATCTTGAAAATATCTTTATTATTAATGTTAATTAACTAATAAAAATAAAAAATCCGTTGTCATTCTTGAAGCGATTGACATTTTCTTTATAGGATATTGGAAAAGTCGATGGTCAGAATGCAAATTATTGCAAGCAAAATAATCTTTCGTTCCTATGGACGTAAGAGTCGGTTTGACATTATGAATGACAAGATGCATACGTAGCATTCAGCATGAAGACAGCTTTCCTAGTTATTACTTGGGAATTTCAAATTCCAACTTAAATAGACGTTCTAAGCAATATCTATTTTGACATGCTTTACACCGTGGGTTATACCTCCAATCATCTAGATCAAGCCTAAAAATGTATCCATTTTTTATGGACCTAAATCAGAAAAAATATTAATTGTGAATTGAATTTATTCAATTATTAATTTATAACTATATATTACTTTTTCTAAATATAATAATACAGTCATGTTAGATATAAGTTAAATAAAAATTTTAAATTAAATATAAAAAATTATTTTATATATAAAACAAAATTTTCTTATATTAGTATAAGTCTAAAAACTCTTACATTTACTCTAAATCTTTCATTTAACTTAAATCTAACAGGTTATAATTTATTATTTTACTGGCCGTTAAATTTAAGTTAAATAAAAGACTCAAATTAGGTGTAAGAATTATTAGATTTATACTAATGTAAGAATATCATTTCCTTTTATTTATTTATTTATATATATATATATATATATTATAATAATTTATAAAAAGAATTATATACATATTACTTGGACCATCGTACGACAGCAGATTACCTCAAGGACGATGAAATTTGTTCTATGATTTGTTGTTGACTGAGACCAAATGTGTGTGATTAATTAGTTGGAATTTCCTTATTGATCTCTCTGTACATTAATTGAATATAGTTCTTAGATAAGAGTACTTTTAAGAGTTATATTAAATGAAAATATTTTTAAAAATTAATGTTTCATAATAAATATTTATTTTTATTTTATTTTTAAAATTTAAAAAGTATTTTTAATTTATTTTATTTAGTGTAATAGAATATTTATTACTAGTAATTACAAAATTATTTTTATTTTTAATATAGTTATAAATAATATTGTAAAATAATTTATTTTTATTTATTTATTTAATTTAATAATATTAGCGAGGTATACTAGAAACTCATTAATATATTCCTCAGCTACTCTGATGTTTTTTTTTAAATTGTTGTTCGACATATCAAATTTTTATTTTTAAATGGGTGAAATAAGAAAATAAATTATAATTAAATAATATAATAAAAATGAAAGATAAATATAAAAATATGAAAATAAAAATATAAAGGTTATTTTTTTATGTTTAACTTTTTTAAGTACATTTCTTCTGTGATATATTAATAATATTAACGTGGGAAAGTGAGAATATCTATTAATAACTAATTAAAACAGTCTTGGCAAAAAATAAAAACAACCTACTCCCATCTCTTGAATAATTGAGAGTAAGTACTTTTTAAAAAAGGATCTTGCTATTTTGACCCTACGAAAAAAATCTTGTCATTTAGTGCTCATTAAAAATTCCTTTTAATTTAACATTAATCAGCATTTTTAAAAAATAGTAATTTGTTAATAGGTAAAAATGAAAAGAAATTACGTTCATAAGTGAGAATAATAACTTGTTATTTTCAAAACAGTTGAACAATAACTGAAATTGTTTTATAAGTTATTTTAAAAAAAAAATCTATTTCTGATAATGATAATTCGCAAATACTGAATAACTTGTGGATAATCCATTCGTAGATTTAGATGTAATCTTCTAGAATCAATAATACATAGATAATGTAATACTCTATCAATGTTTAAATGATGCTTACCCTTCTATCTGTTTTCTTTGCTTCAGTTGAGACTATTTTGTCCATTCGTATGTGTATGAAAGCTTGATTTTGTTAGTAAAATGTGTGATTTGGGAATAAATGAAATGAAGGATTTTTTTTAGTATCCTCATGAATAATGAGTAATGCTGATTAGATGTTTGATCATCCTTAATTACACCATTTTTCTTTTCATTATGGATCTGTTGTTTCATCAGCATCTAGGTAGAAGTTACCAGTTTGTATTGTTGACGGTTCATTGAGATTGAGGTTTTCTGTCAATTTTGAGAGTATATTATTGATTCCGTATGGTTCTTTTTCACTACCTCAGCTAACAAAAATGTCATTTAATTCAAGTTGTTGGTCTTTTCAGTTCTATTATTCATAAAATATATTATATTAATTAACATAATTTAAGGTCTGAATCTAGTTTATACAGTTCCAAATACAAAGGAGCAAATGCAAAGAAACTTAAGGGGAGAAAAAGTCTTAACATGCGCTAGACGGATGAGATTAAAGAATAGCATTAAGTTGAATTGCATTGCATTTCTGGATTTTAGATTTTGGCAAGGAAAGAAATGGCATGAAATAATAACATTAATGTCGCCTTCTCAAATAAAAAAAGGTAAAAGATTAACGATTACTTGTAATATCTTGATCTTTCAATGAACTATCTGGAGGGAACAATCCCTCATCAGCTTGGAAATATCTCTCGTTTGCAGCTTGATCTCAGTTGGAATGGTCTTGTTGGAATAATTTCTTATCAACTTGGAAGACTTTCAAATTTGCAGCAACTTTATCTTGGAAACATTCGAGGACTCAAAATTCATGACAAGAATCATGTTGGACATGCAGGTGAGTGGCTGTCCAATATCTCACTCTCTTATCCCATCTTGAATTGGTTGCATAATCTCAATAATTATCAAGGCTGGCTACAAACAATTGCTATGCATTAAAAACTTCAAGAACTGAAGCTAGCTGGATCTGATCTTTCAAATCATTATCTCCTTTCTTTGTTCCCTTCAATATTGAATTTTTCTAATTCGCTTACAATTCCTTCGCATCGTACATAATATTCCAATGGGTGTTTAATGCCACCTCCGGTTTAACCCTCCTTGATCTGATCAATAATCTCTTTGAAGGTCCCAATTCATATGATTTTGACATCTTGATTTGTCCTGGAATAAACTACATGGTGAAATTCTGAAATCCTTTGGGGATATATGTACCTTACACTCGTTACACCTTGATCATATCAATTTGAAAGAAGATATCTCAGTAATTAGTAATTTGTCTGGTTGTGTTAGATAATCACTAAGAGAATTGAGTCCAATTGGCAACCAAATTAATGGCGCATTACATGACCTTTCTATATTCCCATCTCTAAAATTATTAGACCTTTTTGGTTAAGTGGGAAGTTGCTAGACGGTGGTAGATGGTCACCCAAATTGGAGTCTTTGAGAATTGCATCGAACTCTTTGGAAGGGGGAATTCCAAAATCATTTGGAAACATATGTACCTTACGCTCGCTAGACTTGACAAAATTTAACTTGAGCGATGATCTTTCAATGATAATATATAATTTGTCCATTTGGTGTGCCAAATACTCACTGCAAGATTGTGGTACTCTTAGAAATACCTTGGACTTGTCTAATATTGTGGTACTCTTAAAAAAATTTTAAGATGCCATACCGGAAAGATTTTTAACCAATAATACTTTAATGCATGTTAAAGTGATAATTTTATTTAATAATAAATTATATATATTTCTTATAACTTGTTATATATTTTTTTAATTGGTACAATTATTTAGGTATAGTAACCGTAAAAGAATTTTAGAATACTACATTAACACACTTTTGTTAAATGGGAAGTTACCTGAAAATATTCATTTCCCAACTCAATTGAAGTTTTTGGATATGCAATCCAACAATTTGGAAGGTGTGATCAATGACTCCCATTTTGCCAACATGTCCATGTTACATTATTTAGACTTAAGTTACAATTAATTGGCTTTGATATTTAGTGACAATTGGGTCCCACATTCTCAATTGGTTTATATAAGTTCAAGGTCTTGTAGGTTAGGACCTAATTTTCTTAAATGGTTGCAAAATAAAAAACATCTTGAAATATTGTGATGTGATTATGACTTCGAACCAATTTGAAGGTTCAATCCCACCACACTTACGAAGTGCAGCAACACTACATTTGTCCTAGAACAAATTTTCAAAGTCTCGTGTGTTTTTATGCTCTAACACTGCGATTAATAGATTGAACATATTAGATCTCTCAGAGAATCAATCATCAGAGCAGCTCCCTGATTGTTGGAGTCATTTCACAGAAATAATATTTCTACATTTAAGTGACAACGTCTTATCAGAGGAAGTGCCATTCTTTTTAGGCTCACTACTTGAACTTCAAGTATTAATACTGAGGAACAATAGCTTAACTGGGAAGTTGCCTTTCTCTTTGAAAAATTGCATAAAGCTAGTTATGCTGGATCTCGGAGAAAATAGATTATCAGGGCCAATACCTTATTGTATAGGATTTTTGCAACAATTGCAAATGTTAAGCTTAGGAAGGAATCATTTCTTTGGAAGTCTTCCTCAGAATCTTTGTTACTTAACAAGCATTCAGTTGTTAGATCTCACACTTAACAATCTGTCAGGACAAATTTTCAAATGCATAAAAAATTTTACCGCGATGTCTCAAAAGGATTTCTCAACCACACGGATTAATTATTATCCTATAGTTTTTAGGCCACATTTACCATTATGGGTCCTATGTACGATTTGTTCGCGTTGTTGGTGTGGAAAGGTACAGAACAACTGTTCAAGAATAATAGACTCCTTTTGAAGAGCATTGATCTTTCCAGCAATAAGTTGTCAGGAGTTATTCCAGAAGAAATGAGAAACTTGGTAGGATTGGTGTCATTGAATTTGTCAAGGAATAGTTTGAGTACGTGGAGAAATTATTCCAAATTTTGGAATGTTAACATCACTTGGCTTTCTTGATTTGTCAAGAAACCATTTCTTGGGTACAATTCCCACGACTCTTGCTCAATGATTGAAAAATAGGTGACAAAGATTATAGATGATATGCGATAACGGTTACAAAAATGTGTTTTTAAGTAGTTATGTTATATTTTTTCTATGAATAAGATTTTAAACCATAATACAGAGAGTTACGACTTTACACTCAAACACTTGTAATATCTCAAAAATTGTCAACAATTTTACACACGTTAAATTCGACAGAAAGAGATTAACATTATTTTATTCTAATTGAAAGTTGTATGTTAGTTAATTATAATTTACTTTTAATCCAATTATTTTCTTTAATTTTTATTGTTTTATTTTAATATTTCTCAATAATTCTCTTTTTTTTTTCTATTTTTATGTTTTCACTCTATTTGTAACATTAATTGATTTCATTGAAAACAAACTATAAAAAACTCATTGAAAAATTTAAAATTCAATTTCACTCACTGAAACATATACCTAGCAACGTAATGGTAAAGTTTTTGCTTATGTTAATAAATTACGTTAACCTGTATGATAAGATATCTTTATGACTGTTTTATAAGTATTGTGTCAAAGACTATCTGCACAGTGAAACTGCAGAGTGAAAAATAAGTTCTGCGGTTCCTATTTGTGGATTAGCACCATCAAAATTACTTGATTTTCTATATTGCATAAAGCGATTCACCTTTAGAGCCTCTATGTCCCTGGTATGAATCATACATTGTTTTATCTCATCACAATCCCCCATGGGATGAATAGAAAATGCCTCAAAGATGTTTGTTAAATTTTGGTTTTATTTCTTCTAAAATTTAGGTTTTGTGACACGTTATCACTAATAGACTCGTGATAATGATGAGGACAAAAAAGTTAACCTTTTTAAAAAAAAGAGAGAGAAACACACCAAAATTTGAATTTTAGAAACACTGAAATTTAAAAAAAAATAAAAAAAAAGTTTATTAATAGGTCAACTTAATAGGCAGCCAAATGGCTTCCGACGTATGATAACTATGGACTACTGAATGCCACCTGAGATACACATAAACAAGAAAGCAGCATATTTTATTATGACCTTTGCAGCTGTGGGTTCTCTCTATTTGGGTCTTTCAGGCAGAAGAGAAGGTATGCTCTGTTCATTCCTGAAGAAGTTAAGAGGGTCGAACTTAGTCTTCACATGTGCCAATCTATTGAAGTTGTTCTTGAAATACTTGAAACCCCAGATGCTAGCCTGCTTATAGCTTGTGTAGCCAATGTTATTTACCCCAATGTCAAGGTCTCTATAATTGGCATATGCAGCTCTAGGGGACTTTGAAACGAAAGTTTCCATATAGCTGTAAAGTCTTCTAACCCAACCGATGTGCCTTTGTGCTATCTCTTCTCCTTCTTGTTGCCAATGTACAGCGTACTGAATTACGTACAAGTTTCCAGATCTGTGGGGGAATGGAATTTCGGATTCTGAAATCTTATCCATTATACCCCCAAAAGGAAAGAGTACCATCAATGCTCCTTCGCCCCCATCTTCATATAATATTGGCCATAACCCTTCTAAGCCACTCTCAGGAATGGGGTTTCTCACAAAATCAGATTTTGCTTTGAAAGAATCTGTTGTAGTTTGAGTTCTGTTCAGCAAAACTTCAAGTTGACCAATTGGAAGCCCCCAAAGATAAAGGACTGATTCTACCCAGCTCATCTCAGTACAGTCTTCTCTCTTCAAACCCAGTTCTGGAAAGTTCTTTTGCATTAAGGGAATGAGCTGATCTACTCCTCCAAGAAACAAGGATTGGAACAGGGCTAGTATTGTTGGCTCCCCTTTCTTACTTGAATTTACCCTGGTCAACATGATATTTATGCCCAAATTCTCGTCAATTTTATTTCCCACAAGTTGCCACTTCTGAATAAGCTTGGTTGCGTTCTGTTCCAATGTCCTGGGGGCTCTGAATACTGTCACATTTGATGGAACTGGAACTAATTTTATCTTCCATGCCAAGATCACTCCAAAGCTTGCATCTCCACCTCCTCTAATGGCCCAGAACAAATCCTCACCCATGGCTTCTCTGTCAAGAAGCTTACCTTTCGCATCAATTAAGTGAGCATCAATCATATTATCAGCAGCGAGGCCATATTTACGCGTCAAGAATCCATAGCCACCGCCACCAAAGTGCCCTCCAACTCCTATAGTGGGGCAGACACCTGCTGGAAAGGCAAGGGTTTTACTTTTCTCACTGATCCTATAGTAAAGTTCACCAACAGTTGCCCCTGATTGAACCCATGCAGTCTTTTTGTTTACATCTATTTCAATTTCTCTAAAGTTTATGAGATCAATAATTACAAATGGAACTTCAGCAACATAGGAGAGACCCTCAAAGTCATGGCCACCACTTCGAATTCGAATCTGCAAGCCATGATGATGGGAACAGATTATGGTGGCTTGAATATGGGAAACTTCCAGAGGTGTAACTATGACAAGTGGTTTTGGTGATTTTTTGGATGAGAATCTGAGGTTTTGAAGGGAAAACTGCAGTACAGATGCGTAAGAGGAGTTGGTTCGAGTGTACACAACCTTAGAGATTGAACTGGAATTGTGGGAATAACTGTAAAGACATTGAACGAAGTTTTCATGACTATCAACTGCAGAAGATGCAAATGTAAATAAAAGAGCAATTACAACAATGAGAAGAAAGGAGCTTAGGGGCATCATTTTTGTTGGTGGTATGGTGCATATGAGAGGCTTCAGGGGTTTGCTTTATATTAGATGAGAGTGTGAAGTATAGATGAGTTAAATCAGCTATGCTGAACAAGTCAAGCACGTTAAAGTAGTCGACACGACCCTGGAATGTTGACTATTGATTTCAGAAGAAAGAAAAAGAACCAAACTAATAAAGTATCCACTTTAGACTGTACCAATAATAAGTTAATCTATAGTCGATTGCAGAAAATATTACATAAATATGTATGGATGTACAAGTTCTCTTAATTTAATTAAAATAATGTTTTTATATTTGAATAAAAAGTGATTCTTTGAATAAACGGACGTCTGTTTTCTAAAAAAATGGCAAATAACGATTGCCCATATTATTGACTTCAGTTGTAGTTAGGTGATACTTTTTATTTTTTAAATTTATTATTTGTTTCTTATCTTCTTAGTATTGGAAAGAAGTTTAGTGTTAATAATGTTTGTGGGATCTTAGTATATAATTAACTAAATAAAAGACTCATTTTTCCACTTCAACTTTGACAGGGAAATTCATATCATTACTTAAGAGACCAAAGAAGTAAATTTGGAAACTTGGTGGAAACTTACAAGAGAGAAATAGTAGAAGAAAAGAGGCACCCAGCTATTATGTCTGGGCCCCCAATTCACATATTAAATAATTAGCAATCTGCATATAACTCGTCCAGCCACACAGCTGTGCCCTTCCTACCAAATGAGTCAAGTTATATATTTTTTATATTTTTGTATTATTTGGTATTTTTTTACAAGTTAATTAAATAAAGTTTATTAACTATGTTTAACTATATCAATCAAATAAAAAAGAAAATGAAAAATATAATAATAATAATAATAATTAAAACATAGTAATTATGTAAAAAAAATATAAAAATAGTAATTGATTAAATTATTTTGAGTTGATAAAAAATAACTTAGGTAATTGACGCTAATAAGTTGAAACATTACTTCATGGTCCAATCTAGCTCTAAAATAATTATTTTAATGAAAGATATATGTAGTTTAAATAAAAAAAATTAATTAAAAGAGCAATACAAAAAAGATTAACGAACTAAATGAAAATAAAAAAATAAAAAAACTAAATTAAAAAATATTTATAGAGTTAAAGGACCAAGCATTGATTTTGCTACTGAGTTACATATTTTGCTTTTAATCAATGTTTATTTTTATTAGATTTTTATTGTTAACTTTAGTATTGTAATAACATTAATTTTTTACGAGGTTGTTATGCTAAGAGACCGTATCTAAGTTAATAAAAAAGCAGAGAGAATTATGAGTATATAGGTTTCCAATGAATAAGGGTATAGGTATTTTTTAGAGGTATGAATCTAGGCATACTTTTAACTATGGGTATAGAGACATATTATAATACTTTGTTTAAATCCTATCCATTGTTATTTCTATGCACGCCTAAATACTTTAAAACAGCAACATAATAATTGGAAGAAAAGCAAACGAAAGATAAAAACTTGAAAATATTGAAAAAGTCATGTTTGAGCATCTAGGAACGACAATGAGTAGGGTACTATAGTACCAATTCCATACTTATATTTTAAAAAATATTTATACTCAGTTAAATAATAATTTTTAGTATTTTATATTTTTTTTTTAAAATTGAACGTAAATAAATAGTAAGAATAATATTATTTAGATTTAATAAATTATAGTTGTACTTGTAATACATATGTTGCATCGAAAAATATTATTTTAAATTAAAATATAAAAAATAAAATTTAAATATTATCAATAAATAATAAGTTTACGGTAATAGTAGGTGATTATAAAATTTATAAAATATTTACAATATATTTATTATTTATCATTCATTTTATTATTTAAATATTAATATGATTTTATTAAAAAAATATTTGTGTGAAAAAAAATTGTGTCATATATAAATAATATTTTAAAAAAAGTCAATCTCATATCAACTATGTAATAATTAAATGATATAAAATAGTAAATAAATTTTTCTATTAAAAATATAAACCAAAATAATTTTTTTGGTTTACTTTATTATTAAATATATTATTTATATTAATCTTATATAATTTCATATAAGTAATATAATAATACAAAAATTTAATGCATAATTATATAACAAAGTTAAAGTATATATATGTGGCATCTCCATTGAAATTTGTGAGTTTTTACTTATATCCGTACTCATATAGCAGATAAATACCTTATTCATTCTAGATAAATTTTGTGGATGCTATCGAATACTTTATCCATTATCATCCCTAGTTTCAGCCTTTTATATACCTTTGTTAACATTGATTTTTGTTTAAGAAATGTGTTCTGGCCTTTTTATTTTGGATAAATTTTAATATTTTTATTAATTAATTTTGTATATAAAAAGAAAAGTAAAGTTTCAAAATAAAACTTGAAAGTTTTAAATAAACAATGACATAACTAACTTAATTTTTAAAATAAAAAAGTAATTTACTAAAATTAAAAGATTATAGATAATTTAAATTAAAGCATTAAAGATGTTAAATAAGTCAATCTTTAAAAGTCGTCTAGCTTCATGCATCAACTAGGGACATGTGAGTACAATATGCTTTACTCACTTTCATGCATTTTGACTAGAAAAGAAAAGGAGAGGGGTTAGAAATAGGACACTAATCGCAAAAATCTAAATTCAGAATAGTACGAACTTCCATAGTACATACACAAAATTATCTATAAAGCACTACAAATGCACGCTCAGGGTATAACATTTTGCTCCTGTCATAATCAAAGATAGAAAGAGATTCAAACTAAACTATCTCCATCTCCATATGCCAGAACTCATCAACCACTTAAAAATACTACTTCTCAAAATTTCGAAACAAACGACAACGGATATATATCTCAGTATGCAAGCTCTTATGTGTCAGCATTAGAATTTGACACGTCACACCCAAACCTTTCATAAGAAGCTTTGCGATTGCATGCATGAAACAATCACCATTCTACTCTGCTGATTCATTCTCCTTCAAACCGGAGGGGCTAAATTCCAAACATTTATTTTTAATGTTAACTTTTATATTTATGTAAATTATTGAAATAAAATTTTAATTTTAATTAAAAAGTCGTATATATAAAAAACACTTGTAATATTATATACCTAAAGTTTATCCATAACATTAATTTAATAAAAACCTTTATTCCTTGGAAAGTATGCCAAAGATAACTCATAACATAGATGAAATTAAACACAAACCTTTATCGTATATATAGATATACCACTTCTTTTTTCAATACTAATCTAAGAAACGAAAAATTGAAAAGTTGAGAAAATGAGTTCGGTGTTGAACGAAAGAAGGGATGCAGAATGGAAGAAAACGTGGACAGGAAACACTTTGTTATCTGCTCCTCCTCTTTCACTACTGGCCATAGTTGGCATAGTAGTGTTCTTGTTGTGGCTTTCATCATATTTGAATTTGAATTACAAGTACACTGCCATGCAGATGGCCACGACCAACTTAAAGATGTTGCTCTTGTTTTTGCCTCTTGTGTTGACCCTCATGGCCCAAGGTGGACGCCTCGTGGTTCCAGCATCAAGTGTGGCTCGTTTCCACGATAGAGATGAGGAGTCAGAATCATCAATATATTGGGGATGGGTTACCTTTGTTGTTTTTCTTTTGGTTTTGATATCCTATCGACTACACCCTATCTTTGTCATTGCAATAGTATTTTTGTATGTCTACATATTATCAGCGTAAGGTAGTTTTTTCTTCCTACTTTATTGGATGGTTTGGGGATGCACGTTTGTCAATCAACCTCGTTTCATTTTATTTTGTTTGTACCCTTTTTCGAAATTGTGTGCTTACTATAGGTTCATTTTTCTTCATAGATTGCGTGAATAAAGAAGTGGATTCTTAGTGTGAATTGTATTTGTTGGTCAGTTGGACTGGATGTTAAATCGAGGTCCACAGTCCCACTTTGTTCTTCATTAAGATTTTTGTTAATATTTGTAGTACTTTACGTCCTTATTTAAAAAAAGAGGGGTATCTTAATAGAAATATGTATTTCAAACTGGTATTCAGAAGAATTGAATAGATAAACCAAACTTGCAAATAATTTATGTAAGAAATGTATCATATATACAGAAGCCAAGATAGGCTAAATATTAACAGAAATGTGACTCTTTAAACGCAAATACATTGAAATAAAGGTGAATTCAATCGTAAATTTAAACGCGTAATGTGCTAAAGTGACCGCATCAAGTTGGCAATCGAGCGTTAGGATGTAGACGTCACTAAGGGATTGAAGATGGTGGGAAAAAACTGCACAGCAAAAGACATTTTCTGCTCGCTATTAAAAGCAAATTGCCTGATATGCAAGAGGGCCGGGGTGGTGATATTCAGCATAAGAGATTGAACCAGACAGAAAATGTACATTTCGTTACAACTGTAACACAACGAGATGCTCTTCTGAATCTGATCGAACAAAAACTTTAACAGCAATAATTGTTGTATTTTAATAGGATATATATAGGAAAAAAGAAAAGCACCCAACTCTAAAGAAGCTAACTGTCAACAAATTTGTGCATTTAAAGAGGCAGTAACAAAATTCAAATGTAATAATAGATTTTAAGCATACTTCATATTTACAGGATAATTTTGAAACCATAATCCCACGCATCCATAAAGTATTCTTTGGTTTCCTACTCCACTACTGCAACTTTCTTGACAAGTCACACATAGAATAAACTATCTGATCTGATAAGCGCTAAACAAAGAGAATACATACATAAATCAAACAAGATACAGCCTCCAGTTCAATCTCCAGCCAAGGTTTAATGCTGTGACTTGATGCGAATATCCAGTTTGAGTTGTACAGAAGGGAAAAAACCAGATGGAATCAAAAGGAACCTTTTTGTAGGAGCATCAGCTATTTGGCCTTGAATGATCTTGGTGAAAGATTGCAATATTAAAGTGCTTCCCTGAGACCTAGCCAAGACATCGTAATGAAACCCTGCCATCGACTTGGGGCCAATGCAACTAATGTAGACTATATTCCCCAGAAGCTCATGATTATTGTGAACAACAAACAGATTAGCATCATTTTTCTCTTGAAGAACAACCGTTTTTTGATCAGTATTTAAGAAGAGAGTGAAAAATCTATCATATATAAACTGCGTTCCAGAGCCTACATGTCTATGGCTGAAGTGGAGGGATAACTCCTTGGATGAAGCAACATAATCGCAACCTGTATGCGGGCATAAACATGGTAGATATTTGCATTCCTTCTCATGGTTACTTTTCCTGCTGTAACTAAACATCTCGTTACAGCCATATTGTGCATTCAGGCATGACATTTTAATAGCATCCAGCACCTTCTCAATAGCTCGGCAACGATTATACCCAATGGGCATTAAGCACATGGGACACTTGTTCCTGAGTCTGGCACAGCAATTAGAGCAAGCAATATGTCCATTCTCACACTGAATTTTCATTTAACCACAAAGAAAGTTATCAAGTTAGATTTTTCATTACATGGGAAAACTAACAAAATAATCACAAAAAGCACCTTTGAAAGGCTTGCAAGTTGAAGTAACCAGACAGTGAATAAAATAAACATACAACAAAAGGAACAAAATAGTGGTTAAAAAGCCTAGAATGCTATGAATTTCTGTGCAATTCCCATCCTTCTGTTGGATACTTTTTAAGTGTTACATCAACAAAATGAAATATTTTCAAGGAATTAAAGTGGTTATGAAATGATTACAGAATAACATGTACCCGCACTTTGTCCATTCCTTTTCAATGAGACCTCTTCACCAACACAACAGACTCACACTTGTGTAACCAACATAACTCACCACCAAAGGGCAGGACCTTTGTCTCAAGCTCAATAACTCACATTTGAGTAACCAACCTTAATCACTACTCAAACACAGGACGCAGGACTTCAGTTCTAAAATAAACAGCTTAAAACCTTTTTTTCCTCCCAAATTTCAAACTTATAAGACACACGACAACTAGAAACAGCACTTCATCCCTCATCCCTTAAGCTGTGAAAATCCCAATTGAATTTCCCAAGATTCTAACAACAATCCTTTCACAGCACCCTCACACCATCTAGAATCAGTGCACAAAACAAAATCCACAGACAATCATCATAAAAGAAATGCAAAATTCACATATAAATACACCCAGATTTAGAGAAAAAAAAAACAAAAAAGGGGCAAAGAGGGAAATTGACCTGGAAAACAGGAGCACCCAAGGGTTCATAGCAAATGCAGCAATCAAAGACATCAGGGTCAGAAACGAAGAGGGGAATGGACCTGTCCCTGTCATTGGTTGCAGACCCATTTGATCCAGCATCAGTTGGAGCATGTTCTTCGTTTTCTTGGGTTCCAATTGGAGGGTCCACAATTTCAAAGCTTTGTTGTGGATGCTGCTCTTCTTCTTCTTCTCCTTCTTCCTCTTCCCTGCGTCGCTTCTGGCTTCGGTTGCTGGGTCCTTCTCCGTCATCGTATCCACCAACCGAAATTTTCACCATCTCTCTCGCTTTCTCTGTTTGATTCTGGACACTATCTTCCTTCTTTTATATACGGAAATGGTTGTCGTTCTGATGCATAAATGGACAGTTTTTTTAAGTAGTTTATTTCTATAGCTTTTATTATTATTATTGTTTTATTTTGGTAACGGGAAATTTAAAATAATTGTTGAGGAAAAGATTGTTATACAAAATTAGCATTTATTGAAAATATTTAAAGCATGTAATATAAAACAATTTTTTTAGCCTCTGTTACAAAACTTAATATAATTAATTTTAATGAAATCAATATTAAATTATTGAATATTATTAAATTGTATATGTAAATGAATCTAAATTACATATTTTAAAATAATAATATAATAATTTAAAATATGCATCATAATATTTTTAAAATTATATATTTAATTTAAATAAAAGCACTTATTTATCTGTGCTAAACAGTAAACTTTACTGTCTATAACATTCTATTTAATTTTTAAAAAAATTATCTTTAATAAAAAATATGTGATTTAGAGAAAAAATTATTTATGTATAAATTTATGTTTATTGTATCATTTTAAATATACAATTTTTTATCATCTATATGAAAAATTTTATAACTAAAAAATTTAAATAAATTTTTATATTATATATATATACTTTCCTATTTCATATTATTGTATGACAACAATGAATCCGAAATGTTGCAAGATACAGATAGATTAGATTTTTATGGAAAAAATTATATTTTTTTCAAAAATAATAATGATTAAGAAATATATAATTTGAACATATACATCAACATTAATATAATATATATTTGAAGGGTATAAAATAAGAAACTTTAATTATATTAAATTTTAAATTTAATAATATAATTAAAAAATTAACTGTCTTAATATTTCATAAAATAAAAAGTTATATATCACAATTTTTTATTAAAAATTATAAAATTTAATAAATTAAATGTATTGTTATTATTAAATATTATAATTTTGACTAAATATCTACTAAAACATATTTTGGAATTTTTTTTAAAAAAAATTTAAAAATTATTAATAAATACAAAAAATTGTTGTAAAATAAAATAATTTTTTTATAAGTTAAAATTAATTTATGTTTCTCTATTTATTTCAAAACTCTCTAATTTAACTTATCTAAACTTTAAGAAGAATAAATTATTAAAATATATGAAATTTTTTTATTAATTTTTAATATTATTTTTATATGAATATTTATCTAAAATCTTAGAGCTTAAACATGATTTGCTACCAATAGTAAAAAATAACGTATCAATTATTTATATTTTTCATATTTATTATTGCACATCAATCAATTAAATATTTTTTTATTTTCTTAAAGTTGATAAATTTGAATTTTAAATCTAAATTATTTGTCACATTTATTGCAAGGTTTTAATTAATTAAATATATTTTCCTTTTTTAATGTTGATAAATTAAATTTTTAATTCAAATTTTCTGAAGTTTTCATCTAATTATAATGGAAGTAGATCGGATGAAGATACGCCAACATGCATGCGACTTGGATTGCTCAATGACACTTTGGTTCTCTTTTTACATTTTCTCTCCATATGTGAGTTGTTTATCAACAAATTTTAAGAGCAAGTTTGTTTTTTATTTTAAAAACAGTTTTAAAATTTTAAAATATAATATAATATAAATTTGTAATAACTTTTATGTTTAAAAATAAAAAAACAAACATGCTCTTAAAATTTGATAATGAGTTTTGAAATACTACGAAGAAGGTAAAGAGGACAATGTTGCTAATTTCACTCGATGTTGAGGTTATTTGTCAGAAGCGTAAGAGGTTGCTCTAAAACAATTTCTTAAGTTGAATCTTCCAACTCTACTTCATATATGTGAAACAAAAACCAGTATGTAAAAGCAACATTTTGGGCGAACTCTGTTTTTTATCATCATTCCAACACTGCCAATAGAACTCTTCATCCGTCATATAGCTTTCACGTTTTTTATTTATTCAAAAGTTTTAAAATCCATTGTCTCAAAAGCCATGAGATCTCAAATTGCAATTTTCAAGCCTTTATAATAATAGTCACAATTTTAATGCACATGACTCTACATTAATTTTATCAAATGGGGTTCACTGGACAATGTATTTGGTTGGCGGCAATCGAAGATTTCCTGTCAAGCTACGGACGGGACCAAAAATAAGAAAGCTTACAGGCAAAAAAATTTGTACGGTTCTACTGGTGCTACTAAGCTATGCAGAAAATGTTTTTTTTTTAATATTCTTTTATTATTAAGCAAATTTCATTTCAATCTCAATAAGAAAGATTGCTCAAAAGTTTTAGTAAAACATGCATAATACTCATCAAATACCAAATAACATATTTAAAAGGCTTAATAAATAATTCATCCCTATGTTTATTTTACAATAAAGTCTTTATAGAATTTTGTTATAATTTAGTTTTTACCAATTCTCCTATGTTAATTATTGACTAACCAAAAATTAACTCAATACTTTTATGTGATATATCATATTATTTAATTTTTTAAATATTTTAGTAATTAAAATTAATGTTTATAAACAAGTCATAAACACATTTTAAATATTTATAACTTAATTCAGTATTTTAAAGTTGATGACAAAAAATAAATTCTAATTTATTAATATTTTAATAACTAAATTTTAACAAAAATTTTATAAAAATTTATTGCAAAATATATTAAATTTATAAGAATCAATTACATTTATCTCTATTTCAAATGTGTTAAAAAAAAGTATAATGTAAACATTTCATTCATGTGGCTTTTTTGTTTTTTTGTTTTTTCAAATTTATCAAAATATGAGAATTTTGGCAAAATTATTGATATATAGTTTTTTTTCATAAATTAATATTGACAACTTTTGACCACCTTTTTTCAAAAATTGCCAATAGCAATTTAAGACTATTTTTGGTACTTTTTAAATATTTTATTATTATTTTAAAAATAATCTTTAGTGACTCTTAGTTTTTTTTATTATTTTAATATTTTTAATAAAAATCACCATTCGACAATTTTTGAGACTTCACTACTTTTTTAATTTTTTATCTCTGAACTTTTGTGCTTATACCAAAAATTATCATTAACAATTTTAAACTATATTTTTGTAATTTTTCAAAAAAAAAAACACCATATTTTAGTATATATAATTTTTAAATACCGTATATAAAAAATTAATCCCATCTATAGTATTAGATGAATCTCATGTAATTACACTAAAAATAGAATTGACTTAAGTGAAAAGAGTATGTTGCCAACAGTTTTCTTAATTCAGTCGTACAAGTGAAATGCGTTTACAAGAAAAACAGAAGGCCGAGCCTTAACTTCTCACAGTAAGGCTATCCAGGCAAATGAAAAAAATTGCGCTTTGCAGTCATTGTCATGAGAATGGAGAATAATAAAAAATGCAAAATGCGAAGTGGATTAGAGATAGCTAAGGAGCAAGTAAAATGCTAAATGGAGCTGCTCTTTTCTCTAGGCATGATGCCTATTTTCCTGTTTATTTGTTCTGGTAGATTTTGCCTTTTGGATCTTTATACGAGATAGTTAATTTGGAAGTATGTAGAAGCGAATCTAATCATGTTAGGCAAAAAATATCTATATAAAATATGCTCTGATACTTCTTGATATGCAGTTATTGCCAACAGCATTGCCTCAAACTGCGTCTAACTTAGCCTGGTTAGTGATTCTTGCTTATATTACCTTTGAGATCTCCTCCATGTAAAAGAAATAAGTTATATTATTCATACAACAATTTTTTACAATACCACTTCTTTGTATCTTTCTTCATCACATCAACCACCTTATCACATACTTTTCTCTCTTTGTTGTAAATTTTTTGAACAAACAAAAGAAATTAAGTAAGACTTTCCTAAAATCATAGAAGCCTAACTTCCACATGTTTTTCACACGGCCGAAATTTTATCCCCCCAAGAAAAGAGAGGATATGCTTGTTGAAGGATAAATAAAACTATCAAAATAAATTTGGAAGTATTAAATTAAAACAATCAACTCGTTGAGGGATGAATAAAACAGAATAAAATAGTAGCATCAAACTTGACCGCAACATTGGAACAATAGATGAAAGAATCTGCGTAGTTATGCAGAGTTGCAGTTAATACATGCATACATGATAGACATGTTGGATACCCGCATATACAAAGGGGGCACCACTCTATAGAAATTATTATTTCAATCTGATTTCATTAATAAATTTAACAACAAAAGCCACATCAGTTTATATATCACAAATATAACAAAACAAATCCTCAAATAACTACCACACAAAATCAAACTTTCACATATCACAGCAGAGAACAGTTAGTTAACAAAGCAAACATTTATTTAACAACAAGAATTAACAACCGGAAGCAAGAAAACAAGAACATGTTACTGAGTTGAGTCACATAACATAAGGAACGCAGCCAGAAGCTGATTTTCCTAAGCAAAAGCTAAAAAAACCAGTCAGAAGCTACAATAAGGATTAGGCTTTCATTTTTCATACAAAACAGCGTTTAAATGCGCCCATCCCACAAAGACTCTGTCTGAACTTTACCAGACGTTAAGAGCCTCTCGATTTCTTGCGGAGGGTTCAAACCGAGCTTTCGAGCACGCTCCCAGCGTTCTAGCCTTGTCATTCCAACGCAAGGTCCATAAGCCATGTTCAAGTCGAATTGCCGCAACACCTCTTCGCTCTCTTTGTATTCATCTGCATTGGAAATGCTTTCAGTTTACAAAAGAATTGAAATTAGAAGAAAATGAAGAAACCCTAGCAAATGGAGGAAGCGGAAGAGGTACCTTCGAGGTCGGGTTTTCCGCCGTGCGAGATGAGAGCCGCTGGTTGGGCTGCGTCGGAGCCCAACGTGGCGGCGTTAATCGGAGATTTCTTGGAAGATTTATTGGCGGTTTTCTTCTGCCTGTAGAAACCCTTCATGTTTCCCGACACTGACGCCATTCTCGCTGTTTCACTTTTCAAATTTTGAATTTTGAATCTGTCTCAACACTGGACAGCGCATTGCCTTATAAAGCCTCCTCTCTTTTATTATTTATTATTAAATATTATGTTAAAAACATTTTAAATCATAGAAAGAATGTAGTATTGTACTTTTAAGCAGTACTTTAAAGATATTAATTAATATTTTTAATATAGGTTAAAACACTTTTTCCTTGTAATTAACATCAAATTTTGAGTCAGTCCATTTATAAAAATAATAATAAAATAATTTTATACAAAAAATCGTTTTTTAAATAATTTAATCACCCAATAGTGTGAGTAACATCTATTATTTTTCATTGTTTTTCTTCTCTCTAATTTGTTGCCCTTTATTTTTAATTTTGAAACAAATTACAATTCACTAGAATTATTATATTCTTCATAATATCAGCCAATCAACTAAACAAACAGAATCATCACTGATTATCTTTCTTTTTATTTTTATACTTTTCTCTTCCTAATCAATAATCTATCACATACATTACTTCAAAACTATTTGAAACTTATCTTTATGAAAAAAAAATAACTCAGAATAAAGAAAAGTATTACTTACATTTACCACAAGCTATCATTTGTCTACCATCTACATATGATATGTTTGGAGAAGATTTTTGAAGAGAAAAAAAAAGAGAAAACATATTTTTTAATTTTAAATTAAAAAAATTTATATATTATTTATAATAACAAATATATTAAGTTTTTGTTAATATATTAATTTATATATTGTTTAAAAAATATTAACTTAAAAAAATCTTCACCACCACTACTTTCCATTTGCTCTCCTTTAGTTTTGCAGCAAAAAATTATTTTTAACCTCCTTTACTATTAATTATTCCACAACTATAAATGTTTTTCATTGTTTTATTGATGAAATATTATGGTAAGAAATTAGGGTGATCAACACAATTTTTTTTAAGATGAGAAACATGGAGATGGAGGCTAGCAAGCCACCAATGAATCCTCAAAGTCAAAATTTGTTAATTTATGTTAGAATATTTCATCAAGTAATATTAGGACACTTTAGTAACATAACTAACTACATGAGATTTGTATTACATACGCTAGATTTTCACTCATGATATTATAATTCTATAACCATTTTTAAAATAATATTTTATTTAAATACTTTATAAACGTTTTTAATACAATGACTAACTTGCATATTGATATCAAATATAAAAATTAAAAAAATTATTTAAACCCTTGAGATATATTGTGATATATATTGCAATTGTATTAACTAATTTAAAATTAATTATATTTTTTTATTTTATGCTTAAAATCACATGATAAAAATATAATTATGTTAATCTTTATTAAAAATTATAATATATTACATAATTTAATGCACCACGTATATTATCATATAAATTAAAAAATAACTTATTAGTTATTACTATACACCATTAAATATACATTAAAAATTTATCAATTATAAAACAAAAATCATTGTACCATTAAAGAGGCGATAGTAATTTAATCAGGCCAGAAAAAAGGAGTACTATACTAAAATAGATTTAAAGAGGTGGATATAATAATTATTTATTTTGATCTTTATTTGCAGTTAAATAATGATATGAAGTATTATCACGTGTTATGTTTTTTTTTAATTATATTAGCAAAAATGACTAAAATTAATAATCATCCATTATTTTGGGTTGTGCTATCACTTCATTATTTTATCAAATTTTTAAGCATTCTAATGTTACATAAGAAATTATTTATGGTAAATTTCTATTTAAAATTATATAATTCAATACGTTATACTATTTAATGTAATAATTTTTAATAAAAATTTATTATATATAAATTTTTTATTTTATATGATATCACACAATCACAAAAAATATTATATTATTTTTATAATAAAATTAGGTTTATCTAAGCCTTTTTTTACTTGGGCTGCTAAAAACTGCCACCCATATTGCACTGCCGAATGGGTTAAGTATTACATTTTGCTATATACAGAATGTAAGTCTCTATCTAATACCTTATTTTGATGGAGAGTGAAATAGAAAGAGAAAAAATAAACAAAAATAAAAAAATATTAACTAAAAAAACTCTATTAACTTATTTAGATGAGTTAAAAAAAAGTAAATAAATAAATAAATTATGTTAAAAAATATGTTAATTTAAAACTAAATTTAACCAAAAATTTTATACTTTTCCCTATTTTTTGACATAATTTTTTTATGTTATGAAAAATAGATTTTCTTTCTAAAATAAATTAAACCAAAAAAACCTCTCCCCCTTCCACTTTTTCCCCGTTGAGGGGGGATTTTTTTTTATGTCGCAAAAAAAATCTTTATTTTTTTCCTCTCAAACAGATAATAAAAATTCAGTATTTTTTTCTTATTTTTTCTTTCCTTTTATTTAATTTCATGAATCCAAATAAAAAGGGTAAACGAAAATATTGCTTCAACAACCCCACAAGTGTTTTCATCCTTAAAAAAAGAAAAGCAGATAAAAAGTAGATATAATGAAAAAAAAAAAAAAGATAAAAAGTAAGGGTGCGAATTTAATTCATTTATCTATTAATTATCTAATTATTCATACATAAATTCAACTAACTTAATCAATTACATAACTTTTATATTCATCTCTCATGACTTGAAATTTATCTAATTCATCTAATTGATACTTTAATAAAAATGATATAAAGTAGGTGAAGAAAAATAATATAAAAAATCATAATTGCTCTTAACACATTAATTAAATTTTACTAAATATTATGAATGAAAACTTAAACATTTTTTTATACTTATAAAATTTTTATTTTAGTCCTTTATTTTTCACTGGTATATACTTTTGGACCTACTCATTGTTGTGACTCTACAAAGAAATGTCACATAACAAGATTTTATTTAGTTATGTTATCATTTAAGAGTCTACATATTGGTGCTGAAACAACAACAAAAAAATCTAAAATAAAAATTTCATAAAAATATAAAGATAAAAATCATATTTAAGATCATTATAAAATTATGGATGAGACTTATTAAATAAAAAGAAATATCTATATTATTTTAAAAGTAAAAATACATTTCAATTAATAAGAAAAAAAATATGTTTATAGTATATTAAAAGTTTTTTTTTTAAATTACTTGTGGTGACATGTTTTTATTAATAAATTATTTATTTTAATAAAACTTTAAGCAAATTTTACTGAAGGAAAAATATTTATTAACACCCCTATTAAAAATATCCATATAAGTGTAAATATAGGTCCAGACTTGTGAGTCAACTCTACTCATCACACAAGTTAAGGAAAGATTATGCTTAAAATAAATTGGTTCATTTAAACAAATAAGGATTTTGATTTAATTTATTTAGTTTTTAGATCTTTTTCTTTATTATTTGTCTTTAAATTTTGATTTTGTGAATTAATCTATGAGTCAATCAACCAAATTGGTGGATTGAATAAGGTTGGCATTTTCTTGGTTTATGCAAGTGTTCAGTCCATCGATTGAAGAAGAGTGCGAAAAGTAAGGTATGTGATTATAAACCAATTGAAAGAGCACTGAAATGTAAGAAAAAGACACAAATATATCAAAGTTTTGTGCAGATAATAAGCATTGAACTCACATAATTTATGTTTTACAACTACACGTCTTCACATAAAATTAAATTAAAAGTCATTATTAATATAAAATAGGTACGAGGAGAAGTGCCTCATCACTTTATCATAGCCATACCAGTAGTCAAGTGCTCTTTTTTTTCCATCTTAGGTCGAAGCAGAGGAACATTTTCTGATTATTGCCATGCAATTATCCTTGGGCCTTGTGTGTGGTAAGTACATCACGGGGCATTTTGGACTCAACTGTTCAAGCCTGCCGTAGAAATAAACAATAGACAATTACAAACATTTGTTATTAAAGTCCTTTCTCTTTAAGTTTTGTTGAAGACTAACACTTTTAAGGAAAATAATGTCCACAATTTTTCCATCATTTTCTATTCTTTCAGTGGACAAATATTTTTAAGTTAACATATATAGGGAATTTCAAAGGCAAAGTGAATAACATGGGCACACATTTTGATTGTATATTTAAAGGGTTATGAAGCGAGGGACATGTTGGGAAATAATTTTCCTAAATGTTGTCTTAGAAAAGTATATAACTAATCAACTCTTATGGAATAAAATCAAAAGACACAGCAACTATTTGTGGATACAAAAACAAACAACTGAAAAACAAATGGTATTTAGCAAATTTTTAATTGTAACCATTGCTTAGGTGGTATATTTCTATTGCTTTATATTTTGCTTTAAAGTTACGGTAAAAAAAACAATTAGTTTTTTACCTTTGTTCAGTCTTACAACTCACAAAATAGGATTACACAAACTATGGAAAAGTTGTTAGGATGATTTAATGAGGGAGGAAAGGTATAAGGTTACTCACTGATAATTCAAAAGAAAATGATGAAGGAAAACAGTGATTTCAAGCTTGGCAAGTTCATTCCCAGGACACAATCTAGTTCCTGCTCCAAAGGGAAGGAATTCTCCAGCCTTATATACATTCTACAAGTAAGCAATAACGAATATGACAAATCCGATCATAAAATATAGGCAAATACAAAAAAATTGAAAAAGCATGGAATATCTTCTATTCCTTTTTCCAGTTCAAATGTGAAAATGAAGATCTTTGTAACTTACATTCCACCTGTAAGGATCAAACTGTTTTGGATTAGGATATATTTCAGCATCAAGGTGAACAGCTCTATACCAGACAAGTACTTTCCAACCTTTTGGAATGATGTAACCTATGCAACCCAAATGTAGTTAGTTCTTTGTAATAAGAATAAAGTCAATGTTTCATCTTTTATGTAATTCTTGTCACATTGCCATGTTAAAAACGTAAAACTTTCTTTAGTTTTATGTAAGGAAAGAAAATTTGTTCCATGTCCATTCATCATTAATTGCTTCCACACTTTACATCAACAAAAAAAAAAGAGGCTGTAACCAAAACTTAAATTGAACATCTGCACCACTTCATTTCCTAATTTAGATACTTTTAAGTAAGGAAGGTAAAAAGGATTATCACAACTCTATTCTCTATAATTTGGTAGTACATTATTCTAATATTAAGAGAAGGGCGAAAATAGTAGACTAACCATTCATAGTCACATCTGATTTTGCCTCTCGAAAAGTCATCAAAGAGAATGTAATCACACGCATTGTTTCATCAATCACCTATGTCATGTACAAATTTGAAAGCATATGATTGAAAGATAATAATCTATATTGGTTAAAATTAATCTAAAATCAACATTTATCCACCTTAGACAGAAACTCCATTTGTCGAATTTCTTGAAGTATCAACCCTTTCTGTGTTGACGGCCTTTTCTTTATTATTTCTTCTTGTTCTTCCTATACATGTTAAATATTTGAAAGTAAAATTTTAAGAGATTATTGGTTGAGGGTACTTGAAAGTACCATTGGAGACATTGTATAGATTGAAATTTAAATAGATTACTGATAATTAACTTTTAAACCTTAGCTTTTTGAAAATATTCTGGGTGCTTTTGTAAGAGCAAGGTAGTCCACATCATAATATGTCCCGAAGACTCATGACCTGCATTTAAGTACATTATCATAACATCAATGATTTCTTCATCACTTAATTTTTTTCCATTTTCATCTTCAACATCAATCAAGGCATCCATCATGTCTTTGGCTTGTTTGGGTGAATTTCCCTTCCTTTGCTTCCTCCGCTCATCCACAATTGATTGAAATATTGCCACTAGATTTTTCCTAGCCTGAAAATCAAAATTGTAAAATATAAATTGTACATATAATGTAGTTAAATGCAACATCAAAATAATGTATTCAACTCCTTATCATTGTATCCCATGAAAATAATTTGAAAACAATAATTAAGAATATAAAAATGTAATTAATGATATAACATTCCTCAAGTATATTTGAGTAAAGACAAAAAGTATGATATTGTCCTGTTTAGTTTGGCAGAGTATACTAATGTACTTGAAATTTTAAGTTTTACTTTCTTGACTCAAAATTTCTTTAGATTCAATAATTGAACCCAAATATGATTTTGTTTGGAATTAGTTTATTAACATACTTACTCCAATTTAAGTATAAAAATTGTATAAATATTGGCAATGTTCTAGCACTTGGCAAATGAACACCCTATAGTACATAAGATCTTGGGTGCGAACTAGTTAGTATGTTAGGATATGCTTTCAATTATGCGAGTTGAAACTGATACCTTGCAACTAAAGTAGTTTCACTTCTTTACTAACTATACAATCATACGGACACCATGGAACAAGTTAAAGATAATAAGGATATTAGTTAACTTTTCCTCGTATGATGATCGTTACTTTATCAATTTCTTCATTGAAACAAATAATTAGTCCCCATAATTTCTATTCATTCAAATTTAGTCCCCACACTATAATTTTTTTGGATGAATCATAACAATTTCTTAATGTTTTGATTTTGGTCCCTATTTCACTTGAGATTATAACACCATCATAATTTGTTCCATGTGTTGCACACTTAGTGGATGCTTACTTGAGTTTCTAAAGTTTCTTATGTCTCATAAAAAATCAGCCTCATCTACCTTTTATAAATTTGAGAGTATTTTAATTTTTTTTTTCTTACTATCTAAATGTATGTAGTCTGATCATTTAGAATTATTCTATCCAAATACACAACATAAAAATCAAGTCAAAACATGTAACATTAACATGAATAATTGTTAATTATTATGACAAAATTTGATGTTACAATCTCAGGTAATGTTATGGACAAAATCGAGAGGCCTCATAGTACTTATTTGAAACTAATTCCTTAATATTTTGTATGCAAGGTGTAGCACAAAAACATTGTATTTCTTTTAAATTTAGAGCAAGCACATGTTAGTAAAAAATCCTTTAGTTCTCTCTCGAGTGCTTGTCAAATAACTATAGTTTTTATTTTCAAATAAGTTTAAGAGATTTAGCTAATGGAAATTGAAAGCTTACCTTGAAGGCTTTGTGGAATGCAAATCCTGGAAGATTAACTCGCATGGCTCTGACTCCCAAATTAAGTGCAGTGTATTCCTTTTCCAAATCTTTCATAACAGAGTCACTTTCTGAGCCAAGAAAAATATGCACAATGATTTTAAAAGTAAGCCTTCGAAGCTCAGTTAAAAACTGAATTTGTCCCATGTTGGCCCATTTCTCCAATGAACTCTGCACATTTTCATCAATATATCTCAAATATAGGGACAATCCTTCCAAGCCATTGATTGAAGATGATGTCAAACGTCTAAGACGCTTATGTTCTTCATACGAAATTGCAATGAACGATTTCTTTCCAATAAGATCAACCGTAGAACGAGGCCAACCAAGTGTAAACTTATCATCATCTGTTAAAACTCTCTTACATGCTTCTGGTGTTATCACAATTACACTTGGACTTCCAAACATGAAGGCCTTGTACATTCCAGTTCGTCCAAATCTGTATTGTTGATTAGATAATTAGCACAACAATCAAATGATTTTATTTTTTCATATGGACTTGTCAATGGTTTAGTTAGCTTAAAAATAAAATAAATGTTGGATAAAATAGAAAAAATAATAATTTATTGTATTTTATGAAAGAGTTTAATTTTGATATATTGTCAGTATAAATATTTTTACACACCCAACTAATTAAAATATACTAAAAATATATTTTTTATACTAATTATTACAAAAATTTATAATCTTTACTGATATAATAATTCATGATTAAATGACACTTACAGTATATTTAAATTAAATTCTGTATAAAAAAATCAAATATTAAAACTATGCCTAATAATTTAATTAACTAAATTTTATTAAATTATTTTAATATTCACAATTTTTTGTATAAATTTATATCTTTTACAAAATTTGGTTTAACTTATATTTTAATACAATATATTTTTATTTTTTTTCCTTTAATTAATTGATCTATTGACAACATTTAATAATATTTGAATTGAAGTATAAAAGTTATTACATCTAGTAACGTATAACTTATTTTTTTTTTTAACATATAAAAAATTGTGAGAATGGTAAATTTATAATTGAAATTAAAACTTATTACTAATCACATAATCACTTAAAAGTTTATATATGTTTTTTTTTTAATTTTTGTCATTTAAATAAGATTTAATAGTCCATAATTATTATTATATTTTTTACAATATTTCGTTACTTAAACATTTTCTTAAATATCTATATGACATAAATTTTTAATTCAATAATCCATTTTAAAATAAAATAAATCTATAAAAATAATGTAATTTATACTGATGTAAGTTAACTTCTCTTCGCATATAATAATTTCATATTTAATAATAATAATAATAATAATAATATACTTGGTTAAGTATTTAACCACTTTCTTTTTTAATTTTCTTTCTTAAACCAAACATATGACAGAAAAATCACACAGGAAATGGGAGTATCTTGTGGTTCACAACGATGGCTTGTGACTTGTGTGGAGAACGAAACTGGTCTATTTCAGTGACAGTGAAAACAAAAAATAAACGTTGTTTATTTGTGAAATAGCTTCTTGGTAGGACATAGCAATCTTCTTATCAGGAGTTAGAAGGGTACAACTCACTCTTTGCATTTCCAGTAAAATGTAGAATTAGTACTTGCTAGCTAGCAAACTAATACTAGTTTGTTTAGAAAAAATTTCTTCAGAGAAATAATCCGTTATTCTTTAAAAAAAAATCTCATAAAATTATAAAAAGTAAGCAATTACTTTCTTAAAATGAGCTAAACTAAACATGCAAACACATCTTTAAAAAAAATGTGATAGATGAACACTTATTTCTTCAAAATAAGTTAAAATTAAAAAAATGAAAGTATAAACTAAACATGCATTAAAACATAAAAAGAGTGATGATTACCTGGAAACAAAAGAGGAGATGAAGGAATCAGGATGACCAGACTTGAAAGCTCGAAGAAAAGACCACATATTGCCAATGATGGGCCACCCCAAGTCACCAGGGGGAAGAGAGTACTGCTTCACCCCCAAACGCCATTCATAGAGCCACCAATTTGCATTCTTGAGAAGGGATCGAATTACCAACAGAGCAACACAAGCCACACTCACAACCCACATGCATGACACCTCCATCACCACAACCTCACCACTACACAACTCCTCTCTTCCTCTCTATTTATAAGCAAAACTTGGTGTGCTGGTGAAAGAGTAGAGAACTGAATGGAATTTTGTGACAACAGTGGCAAAGAGAGATATTTAAAGAGAAAAATAAGCATGTCTGGCCTTCACTCAAATTTTGTTTTTCGTCTGTCAAAGAGGAACAGTTAAGTCTTTTTTAATTAAAATTATAAAAAATAATAAAAACATATAAAAAAAAAGTTTATTTGTTACTTATAGTGCATATACTAATATGTATGATTTTGATCTTTATAATTTTAAGTCCTCACACTTAATTCTTTCAGTTTTTTAGATGCACAGCTTTAATTTTTCTAATTTTAATAGTCTGACATATTTAATCATTTTAGTCTTAATTTAACATATCCTTAATTATTTATTAAAATTATTAAAATAACAAAAATAAAATTACATAATTTCGAATAAATTGTAATTAATAACTAAAAATATATTGTTAACATTTTGAATAACTTTTATGAGATTTGTAAGATCAGTTATACAGTAAAAGGACAAGAACAATTGTTTACAAACTTTATGATATTTAGAAAAAGAGAAGAAAATTCTCCTTTTAGCATGATTTACTGGTACAAGTTACCATTACCATAAGTTTTTTTTTTCTTTCATCGTCAAAAGCAGGTTTACACTAACTAATCAGTTGTTAACTGGTCAATTATTAGATGTCTTGACTACATTACAAATGGATAAGAAACATTGAAAAAGATATGTTTTGTTTAGTAACCTACAAAATTGAAAAAATGATAAAACATTGCTGCAAAACGTTACATATCTGTTTTAAGTGATGTCCCTTTCTCCTTGAATGCTGTTATTCATTCATATGTGTACGATGTTTCTTACAAGGGACATGTTTTTTGTTGTATCTTTTCCTTTCCTTCTGTCACACCGCCCATGCACCCAAACGAAGTGCTTCAACAGTAATAAGAGAACATGCAATTTGCACTGCATACAAGGTAATTTCCCTTCAAAAGAGGGGTCCATTCACATTCTAACATCTCTTCATTATCAATAGCAGAATATATGTATATAGGAACCAAAAATAATTAGATCAATATTAAAATTTACAAATTGAAATATTAAATTACCTAATTAACTTAGTTAAGCAAAAAAAAGTTATCTATTTTACTTTTATATATAAAGATAATCATACTAACTATTAACAATGAATATAAAATTTTATAAATATATAAATTTGTCTTTGTTTTTCAATACTAAATTATTATGATTTAGTTTAAATATTTTTTTAGTCTTTATATTTATAGTGAATTTTATTTTATTTTAAAAAAGTTTGCGTTGCCTTTCGATATTAAGTTGTTATTATAATTGGACTTTGATTGTTTTTTAGTCTGGATTTTTTTTTAGTTTCAAAATTTTTAAAACTTTAAGTTTTTGTTATTGTTGTTAGCTAATTGTTGATTTGAATAATAGATATTTAATTAAGTTATGTCACGTATATCAATATATCATGTACATTAAAAAAAAAAATTTACACAATCAGATAATTAAAAAAAATTATAATTGCTTAAATAATTTAGTGGTAACAATTTTAATTTATGTTATTTTTGTGAGATTTTTTCAAATATATGTAATGAATTGGCACGTATGACAAAGCTTATTTAGATATTTATTATTCAAGTCAGTGTGTATCCACTGATATGATAAGGTATGGACCAAAAATAAAAGTTCAAAGAAGTTAAGAATAAATATAAAAAATTATACGAATTAAAAAATGGCATTATATTTACGAAGATTATTAATATATTTAAACATTTCAATTTTATTGTATTTACCGTGCGTGTAAATCTATTGCATTAGATTCAAGATCAAGATCGTCCAATATATATTTTTTTAACTCATAGATATTTGGTTCTTGAAAAATTATTAAATAATTTAATTATAAAATATAGTATAAATTTTTTTACTCTGTATAATAATTGATTTATTTGTAATGTTTATTTAATAAATTTTTGTGATTTATTTATGTGTTAAGTGAAGGATTTAATTGGAAAGCGTTAATCATGTCATTAGCAAAAATTATTAACTTTTTATGATAATTAATTTAATAATTATCATAAAAGTGTAATAATTTTTGATTGATTAATCTTAAATATTAGACAATTTAATCAATTTAATTTATAAATATTTTAAGTAAAAATTAAAATTTAAGAGTTTTTGGTAAAATGAAATCAATAAAATTTTAATTTGTACAATTTAAAAGTAGAGAAACTTAATTGATTCTAAAAAAATTTGAGAAACCAAAATTGTACCAAACTCTAACTTAAGGAGGCAAAAATATAACTAATGTATTTTTAAAATATCTATAATTTTTTAAAAAAATTAATAAAACAATAAAATTTTATGAAGTATTTTAACTCTTATTGAATGATAAAATATCAATGGTAAACATAATATGAAGGACTGGGTAAGTTTAAACACAGATATTCAGATCCTGAGTCATTATCTACTGGGTTCTTACATGAATACTCCTCTATCAATAATTCAATAATTGTTTTCAATATAATATTAGTTTAAATATGGCAATATACCACAGCAGATTCTATTACTGCTAGTATGAAGGAATTTTTCTTTCCACATACTTTGAATATCGATTTTTTTATCACATGTACTAGGTGTATAGATTAAAGGATAAAAACATTTTTTTTTGTTTAAAAATAAATTCATTACATCATTAATAGAAAAATCACTTACTAAAACGAAAAAAAAAATCATTTTTTCCCTTCTCTTAAAAAATGACTCTGATTAGAGTTGAATTTTAAATGGCATGGAGGACAGTTAACGCCAAACAGGTTCGTTTCCTTTGGCAACTGCTAATCTGAATTTTGATTGCTTGTTATGCCATTAGTGTTCTCAAAATTAACCAATTCTCTATCATGGTTACAACTTCTGCAACTTGGTTCCTCTTTATTCCTATAATTTTATCGTTATGCCTCATAACATTAGGTGCAACAGTGGTACAAGACCTTAAAAACTTACACCAACCTCCAAATTTTAACACAACAATCGTGTCCAACTGTCTCAAGAACCCATCTCTTAGGTACTGCAATTCCAATCCCATGGACCTTGATGAAATATTCAAATTCAGTATTGTTGCTAGCCATCTATGCAATGAATCAAAGAACCCAAATTGTGTGGAGTCATTCCCCAAAATTGATCTTAGAAACCGCCCAAATATTGCAACTCTTTATTTATCCTTTGGTTTCTTTTGGAAGTATTGCCCCTTGAGCATTTTGTCCATTGATTTGTCCAACAATTCTATGAAGGGTAGTTTTCCAATTGATGTTCTCTATTGCACCCAAATCCATTCTCTTGATTTAAGTGTCAATGAATTTTCTGGTCACATTCCAATTCAGAGTTTCTCTCCCCTAACCAACCTCTCTTTTCTGAACCTCTCTTATAATTGTTTTTCAGAGAGTAAATTGTCTGATTCGCAATTCTTCAAAAGGTTTAACTCTTCTAGTTTTCTTCATTCTGGTGCTCTCTTGGATCACAAAAGGTTTACATTAAATGCTGTTATTCTATTAATTGGCTTTCCCATCCTTGTCATGTTGATGGTAATTTGTTTGGGATGGATTTGTTTCCAAAGACCAGATTTTCTACCAAGTAAACTTCAAAGAAGTAAGATGTTTACACCAGCAATTCTAAAGGCAGCAACTGATGGTTTTTCAAATAAGAATTTGGTGGGGAAGAGTGATGTTGTTCACATCTACAAAGGGATCTTGAGAGATGGTACTGAAGTGAAAATTGAGATCTACTTGGATGATATATCAATGGATAGTTATCATAAATTTGTTAAAGAATGCAAGGTTCTGTCTAATTTAAATCACAAGAATCTTGTACGAGTTCTGGGGTGGTGTAGGAGCAGAAAATTCAGGGCTATTATTACAGAATGGACAAAAGAAGAAAATGTTGAAATGTGGTTATCAGGGTCAGCTTCACCTTGGAATCATAGACTAAAAGTGATAAAAGGGATTATAGAATGCATGTGTTATCTACTGGAGGAATGGCCTGAAATTGACTATGACCTCAACATAAGTACTGTTTTATTGTCTGACAATATGGAACCACTAATTTCGAGGTTCAAAATTGGAGATCAGAACAACAATCGTAGAAGTAAGAATAATAGACAATTAGCATACATAATTACGATTTCTTCCTTTTATATTTTCCTGTTTTATGGCTTATTTGGTAATTGGTATTTTTCTTTTTCTTTTTTTGTAGAGATATTCAAGTTTGGAGTATTCATTCTAGAGATGATACTAAACAGAAAGATTCAAGAGGAGTTTGATGTAGGTGATTCTGGATTTATTAGGTACATGAGAACCCTTAGTCCAATAGACTTGCAGCAGATTATTGATGAGACAATGGAAGTAACTGAAACATCTTTGCATCAAGTTAAACAGGTTCTATCCCTAGGATTAATGTGCATAGACCAATCAAACAATGAGCAGCCAAGCTTGGCCCTGATATTTAAGACTATAGCAAGAGCTTACAAGACCAGCTTTGTTTTGCCATCTGCAAATCATAGACTATTTCATGGAGATAGATTTAAGGGATCTAGATAAGACAGCAATTCAGTGGATATTTTCTTACAACTAGTGCTATCTTCTGATTTTTTATTTGATTATACTTTATTCACTGTTAAAGTATAATCTTGTGTTATAATTGCATCTAGTTTTCAACTGTTAGCTAAACTTGTAACTTAAATATTTGTTGTGTTCATGAACTCTAAGGTATAATATGTTGTAAGACATCACTGATTCAGTGTGCAAGCCCTATCTTACCTTGTTCGTGGAATGGGCAATCATATCCATCGTTTTTTAACTTTTGCACCGAAAGATGATCCATCATAAATTTACATGTTATTTTATTTATATCATTCTTACACCAAAGCATTTTGAATGATAAAAAAATGCATTCCAATACATAATCTCCCATTAAATTTTAAAATAAAAAGGGTAAATTAAATTAGCACATTGATGGACGAATCTCAAATTTCATAAACTATAGTTTTTCGTGGTTTGTTGTGTTGTGAATTCACTCAACTTAGCATCTCTCTCGGATGAAATACTACATTTTTACACTTTGAAGCTTGGTCATGTAAGATTGTTCATACACAATCTCTATCTTTCGAAATATTTACTCATAAATTTTCTCCTTGAAATTCAAAATTCAAATTATCAAAATATATATATCTGTACCGAAAAACAAAAGTGATGTTTAAAGTTATCAAATTATTTTTTGAATAAATTTTGAAAATAAATACTTGAAATAAAAAAAATATGCATTTAATTTTAAAAAATCGAAGTTAAAAAAATGTATCTTGTTGTCAAGGAAATTAGAGTAGATATTCAGTAAACATGCAAGACCATGACACAATGTGACATAATATCTTATCTCCATTTAAAGATTAATAAAAGACACGAGGTTAAAAAATGCATATGTTGCTTCTACCAAATGAGATTGAATCAATACAATAAAATATTTTATTTCTTTTCATCTTTATTATGGGTGTTGTTAATGACTATATTTATGTTAATGAACTAATAAATACTTTTTTTTTTTATGAAAACTACGTTAAAAAACATTAATAATTAAAAAAATGCATTAAAACTTGTTACATCACGACGATAAAAATAGCAGCGCAAGTCTAACAATGGGATAGAGGCTTAGTTATATTTTCAAAATGAAGAGGTAAACATTAATTTTAATAAGAACAAGGAACTACAATTTTAAGAAGATTATCCTTCAAGAACCATAACAATGGATTTTATTATCATATGCACCCTATGTACAACAAACACTTCACATTAGCATTTTCGTTAATATTAATTGAAGTTAGTTGATATAGAAATTAAAATGATAAACAAATAAAAAATTTAAAGAAACTTTAAGAGTAATTTTATTTATTAATAAATTTTGACTTATTAAAAATTACGTTAAATATATATTAATAATAGTTTTAATTTAAAAAAAATTAAATAATTTTTAGAACAATTATTAATATTTATTTATTTCGGTGAAGAACAGTGCAGCAAACCCTGATTATGTTGTGTTGTTGGATTTCTTCTTATTTCATTTTGAGCCCTCGGGGAAACCGTGCTTCTGCTTCGCACTCTCCTTCTTTCTCTTTCCCCCGGAGCCGGATAATAAGGTGCATGGACGCCGCCGGCTTAGATTCCGATGGCCGGGAATTCAAAAGCGCCGAGGATATGTGGAGGGAACAGACGGGTGACTCTAACAAGAAGACTCAGTGGTATCGTGACGGCGTCTCCTACTGGGAGGTACCTTTCTCTCTCTTCCTCCCAAACTATCTTCATTATATTTGCAAAGTGAAATTCGGTTAGCTTTTGCTTATTCCTTTTTTATGGGTTTCCGATGCTGAAGTGAAAGCTTACTAATCGTTAATGTGAAAAGACTAGTGTGTGCTTGTAGTGACACCCTTTATTTCTGAGGTTGGTTACTTTCAGGTTGCAATTGAGAAGTTGTTGTAAAGCTTTATTTTTCATTGTTTGTAAGAGCAGGGTGTGAAGGCAACTATGGATGGGGTATTAGGAGGGTTTGCAACTGTGAATGAGCCAGATATAAGTTGCAGTGAGGAGTTCTTGAAGATTCTCTTATCTGAACGTTTTTCTGCTGATGTCAGAGACCAACCACTTGTTGCTCTTGGTACTCACTCTTTGCCTCTTTGTTCATTGCCCCCACTTGTGAGAAACAATGTGGTTCTTATTGATATTGTTTCATATATTTTTAATGAGATTTTGGCCTTTGAATACTTATTTTTTATCCATGGAAGATCTAATTAGCAGGCTCTTGAATTTCAGATTGTGGTTCTGGCATTGGCAGAGTCACCAAAAATCTGTTGATAAGATACTTCAATGAGGTTTGTCTGATTTACCTTCCTTACTTATATTTTCTCTGAGCCAATCTGCTGGCTAAGCCATTCACCAAGCATCTCATGTTCTTTTAGTTTTCATCAACTGATGCTTATTTCAAGTAATTGTTTATTGGTGATACAATTCTAATGAAAAGTTGGTGAAGCATCTTTTGTCAGTTTTAATGTCTACAATACCAAGAATATTTGGTTACTTTTTCTTGTCTGTTATTATGCTGGCATGTGTGGGAGAGAGGCGTAGTGGGATAATGATGCCGTACTGTTCTTTTTTATTTAATTTGATGTTAGTTTAAACAGAAATATAACGAATGTTATGAGCAAATTGTTTTCAAGTGCTGGATTGAATCTGTTTTCAACCCTATCATTGCACTTTGGCAGCCCTACTCTTGTTATAGTTTAAGTCATTAAATTAATGAATTCCCTAGTTTATAGTTCAAGCAGCTAGTATATTTCAATTTTCTAGCTATTTATTTCAAAACCACATTTGTGAGAGGCCTCTTTTTCTGTATATTTAAAGTCTACTGCTGGGTATATGCTTACTCTGCTTGGTTTGGTACCAAATACATTCACGGAGTGGGATCAACCCCACCTAACATGTGTATCAATCCAGGCTTAGCAGCTTCCAGGACATCACGCAATTATCCTATTCAAAGGGTAGGGAAGGAGGGACTAGTATAGCATTAGCATGTAATCTAAAACAAGATGTTGTAATGTTCAACGTGGCCTGAGTTATGTGGGTTTGGGTTGAGCTTATATGGATTTGCGTCATAAATGGAAGATAACCTAACTTATGAACAAGTCATGTTAACCTGTTAGGTCAAGCCATACCACTAATCAGGCTGTCTTCAGGTTGAGCATTTTAGTGCCACGGCTTTGTTCTAATCGTGGAGATATGCTAACTAACTGTAAAAATTCACATCAAATATCTAAGAGGTGCATTTTAAGTCCTAGCTTTTACGTTATATAACATGAATAACTACCTTCTTTGGTTGATTCTTATTGCCAATGTCTGCATCTCTTTCATAATTCATTTTTACTTTGATTCTTTCATTTCATCTAAAAAAATTTCTTACTTATGACTTGTTAGAGATGCAGTCTAGCTTTTATTTATTTTGTTATGATCAATGTCCCCCTTGCATGTATTTGCCTCTCTTACATTTGCCTATATTGTTTTAAGACAATCTGGAACTATTTCATGCTTGATATTCTAGAAATATTAAGTTAATTAATTACCTTTTATTTTCTCTTGTATGTTCTTAAATTCAGGTTGATCTTCTTGAGCCAGTATCACATTTCTTAGAGACTGCACGTGAAACTTTGGCCCCCGGATGCGATACAAATTCAGATATGAACAAAGCAGTTAATTTTTATTGTGTGCCTCTTCAGGTGTGTGTACTTCACCTTCTTGTAAATTATTGCATTTCATTTGGTTAGATGACTGAGATGATATAGGATGTGAATGGAGTGTGGTGTTCACATTCAAACATGTTACCTCCCTGACTTATATTCCCCATAGAATATGAGTAAATAAGAATAAAATTGGTAATTGTGAATGCTATTTAAGCATCAACAGCTAACATAACATGTTGGAGAGATTACCATTTTCTGATTGATTGTACAATCTAACCTATTTACAATTTACATGTGTCTTATACTTATTGAAATAATTAAGACACTGGCCATATTAAATTAAACAAATAAAAAAACAAAACAGATAGTTTGCACAAAATCCAATGAACAAAACAGGTGATTATTGGATATTTGGCTAGTTTTTTTTTTTTTTGCCTGTTATTCTCTCAGTTCCCCCTCCCCCAATAGAAAAAAAAATAAAAAGAAACTCATTATGATGAAGATAGATGATTCAAAGAGATTGAAGGATAAGAAATTCAAGGGTACAAACAAACCAAAAAGAAAAATATCAATAAAGCAAAGCTATCCATCCAATCTCAGCATTTCTGTAGGAGAAAGTCCTTTTAAAAGTCCATGGGCTTTACACCAAGAAGAAGCCAAATGCCTAATCTCAGCCCAAAGGAGTTGATCTAGTCATTGGTAATGTTATTGAGAACCTTTTGCTTTCCTTGTTTTAGGATTTTACACCCAATACTGGAAGATATGATGTAATATGGGTTCAATGGTGTATTGGTCATCTTACAGATGAAGATTTTGTTTCATTTTTCAATAGAGCAAAGGTAAGTCATCCTATCTTTGATTAATATTCTCTGCAAATCAGTGTATTTATTAATTGTGAGTCAAGAAATACATTTGGAAAAAGTACCTTTGGATAACGGAAGGTTGCAGAATTAAGTATTTTCTTAAGGCTTTGGATTTATTCAATTCTTTAGAATTAAAAGGATGTGCAATTGCATGGTTGATGAAGTGATCTAGTACTCTAGTTTATTGCTTATTTCTGCTCACCTATGATCAAATTGTTATTTTTGGTTCACATTTGCCTTGTATGTTATTTGTCTTGGTAATTGCGAATTTTCAAGTCTTGAATTATTGCAGTGAATGAGATTAGAGAATAAGAAATTAGTCACCATTTCTAAAATTATGTATAGTGCATGCAGCGATTCATTATGAAGGAATGTTTCTCTTTCTATACTACCAAAAATTTGTCTCCTACTCACTAAATGTTTAACTGAATTTGATCATAGGAGAAAGTGTACTGCTTATTTACTTATTGGCTATGCAGAAATATTTGATAATATGTAATTCTGTATGTAATTTGCCTTATCACTATTAAGGTTTGATGATTTGTTGCTTTCATTGGTATACGTTGTTCATTATATTTGTGAGCTTGTGCTGGATCCAATCTATCATGTGTCTCAATTGATTGTTGAAGTCAATAATTTCTCTCTTTTATTTCTTTTGTTGGGTAATTCACATTAGCATGCATAGTTTTCATGCCATTATTGTTGTCTCTAATTTGAATTAATGTTATAAAAAATTATATTCATCTTCTACTCATGGTGTTGACATATAGATTAACATGACTATAGGTTGGTCTCAAACCAGGTGGATTGTTTGTCCTGAAGGAGAATATTGCCAGATCTGGTACTTTTCTCTCTGTTGCATTTCTGTCGTTACAGTCATACTGAATGATTTATTTGCTGCATTTCTATTAAAGTCATAAAATTGGCTCGGGCAGCTTTTCTGAAATATATATCAAACTTAACTGTATTTATAGTCTTCGGTTGTACATGCCTCTGCTCTGATGGTTCCCTAGACATGGAGAGTGCTGAGCAGAGCTCTGAAGAATAACATTTTGATAGATGGGAGTTGGAGAAACAATTTCGAGTTTATAAATTGATGTTTTTGGACAACACTACAAATAAACTTCCTTGGGGTGTGACTAGTTAAAGAGAAACCAGTCATTGAGAACTAATCATGTTAGTGTATTCGATTTTAATTGAATTGTGGGGAATAATCCTCTTTTAATGCCCTTAGTAAGCTTTGGATCATTGGCTGTTTTGAACACACAATTAGTTAATTCTAATTCACATTAAAACGTTTTTTTCTACCTGTTTCAAGCGGAGTAGTAAAGCCCATATTATATTGTTCTTTCCTCTCTTTCTAAAGCGCTCATTTGTAAAAGGCTTAAAATTTAGTAAGCTTGAGGTCAAAGCACAATGTTATAATATGTAGAGGGTATCTCATAATATCATGATTATATCTTAGAACACTTTAGAGGATCTCCCAGGAAGTTTCCTTATTTCTTTATATTCCATGTATTGTTTCCTTATTTAATCGAGGTTAAGAATATGCTATTGGTATAAATAAACAAAGGTTAGTGCTTTATCTCTTGTATCACAAGTGAATACAAACATCAATATCGATATAATTCTATTATTCCATTTCATTCCTCTTGTAAACTCCCAAATATTGCCTTAAATGATGTAATTAATTATTTTCTGCAGTGCCAAAAAAAGAATGATATAATAAATTTAGTTTTCTTTGCTGTCATCAATTAATTAATCGGTGCATCTTTCGGTTTAAGTGGAGGTTTAATTCATGGTTTTGGATCTTTGTTTTGTTGCTTTGCTCCTTGCAGGATTTGTGCTTGATAATGAAGACCGAAGCGTTACAAGATCTGATTCATACTTCAAAGAACTATTTTCTCGCTGTGGATTGCACACTTACAAATCAAAGGTAAGTAACTGTTTTTTCATATCAAAGACTAAATTGCCGACAAAGGTTCATCTGGCTTCAGGAACAAGCATGTACCCAGAGGTCCCATGCTAAATACTAGGATTCTTTGTGATACTATTTTCAATTTAAGTAGTTTACTACTATAATCAACAACCTTTTCGAATTTTTTATTGCGTCTTCCCTCCTGCTGCAAGGTAATTAAACATACAAATCTAAACCAAATTACTTTTCCTATATCCTTTGAAGGAGAATGAGAACATAGGGCAAATTACACACTTTTCAAAGTGTAACAAAATTTTACTCTACACAAGTCTCTTTTATTCATGAATCAAGGAAGGTTAAAGTAAAGTAGTATAAAAAAGGAGGGGGGGGGGGGGGGGGGAGAATATTGAGCTAAAAGTTCAATTTTTACCATAGGATACCTTTGATGTCCTGTCAATTCAGATACTTATTTTTGTTGTCAGAAGAAAATCTATGATGGTCCCTCATATCATTATTGGGACTCTCTTCTATCTTTATAAGTGCTTATTTTCAATCATGTTATTTAAGCTGCTGTTTTGTTCGATCAGGATCAAAAAGGATTCCCCGAGGGATTATTCGCTGTCAAAATATATGCGTTAACTACCGACGCTTCAAAGAAGGCTCCCCGTGCTAAATCTAAAGCACGAGCTAATAGACCTAAACTCATCAAGTGATCAATTTTTCTTGTGATTCTGAATATTCGTCTCAAGCCTTTATTTTTTTATAGTATTGGGAGATTCATGTTGTATTATAATCTTAGAATAGGTTTTAATTTATCTAAGTCATAATTTTTCTATGCCATTAATCGGCTTGCATGCGTGTGAAATGCAATTTTCCGTTATCGAAATGTGAATTTTTGTTGTTTTAATATGGAGTTGTGGATGAATCCTGTTCAGGAAACATTTTGAGTGTTTAGAAGATAATATAAAATTATAAGCATTTATGAACTCGAAACTATCACTCTTTTGGGAATTGGTGATGTTTTTATTTAAATTTTTAAAAATTAAGTGACAAAAATCTGTGATTATATTATTAAAATAAGGTGAATCAAATATGTAATTAATTACTCTCTTAACGGATTAATATGCAGTACGAATACAGAAGCATACACCTGATGGCCTTCTAAATACAGTAGAGAGGGGATGCATAGCTTTTTCTACAGTTAGACGAGAATATATCAATCTCATGCATATAATATGCCACTTAAATTACTTTATACGCCAATTATGACATGTAAATTTGTAGTCAACTTGTATTATTTGCTTTGTAAATTAATATTTCGTTTATTAATTGAACAAATTATGCATAGTGTCGTAAGGTTTTCTTAACTTGTATAATACAATCGTGGTAATATTAATTAATATTTTTTAATATATTATTGTTTTGAGAAAGAGATAACATTGATCACTATTTTTAATTAATAAAAAAGATATTTTTTAAAAAACAAATTATTTAGTCTCCGTTTTAAGATAACTAAACGGTTCAGTCACGCAAAATTTTATATTTAAGTACAAAATATACAGTACAGTTACAGCACTAAATTCGGATTCTAAATTAAGAGTATACCTGAAAATTTATTAAAAAATTCGACTCTTGACATATTAATTATATTAATCTATATAAAAACATTAAACTATATAGAAATGACGTATGTAACAGTACTTTTTTAACGTAAAACATATATTTCTACATGTTTAATTTTATAATATCAATTTTATGTCTACATATAAAGGACAATTTTTTTTGTCATCTATTTGTTCGTTTAAAAATTTACGATTATATTAATTATTATCTTTTTAATTGTCTTTTTCTTTACCTAATTATTTAATACTTATACTGTACACGCTTATTTTATATTATACTATTTGTAATTATATCCATTTTATTAAATGGTTTATTTAAGTGATATAAAAAATTAATTTCATAATACACTTCAAGAAGCTACGAAGCTTAGGTGCGTTTCCAAATGGGTAATTGGCACACGTAGTCTGATTGAACTCTTTTATCACATTAACAACCACCTTTTTAATTAGTTTTACGTTCTCTGATTGAATTTTTGTCTTTCGTATCTTTACGCATAACCGGATATGTCGTGTTTTTCATCACTTCATATAATTGGGGGAAAAAAAAACAATTTCAACCGAGTCATGCAAGGAAGTGAGTTCATAAAATAATATGTAGAGTCACTGGTTTTATGTGTTTGAATTTAGGCATCACACGTTATAGACTAACACGACCCAAAGCTGGATGAGATTAAGAGATAGACATGCATCACATTAGCACACGTATTATTATTGAGATTAAGACAGGTCCTACATGGATTAATTGCAACATAAAACCACGTGTGATTTGAAAGAGAAACACTTTGTCCACAGTGCAAAGACTAAGCTTTGCAAGGAGGAAGAGGAGAGCCACACAAGCACTTGTTATGAGCATAGGAAGAGGCATCAAATCTTTTCATGTTACCACCCTGTGGAATCTCACCACACAGATTGTTGTAACTCACGTTCAACGCGTGCAAATACTTGAGCGCCGTAAGACCCTGAGGTAGCGTCCCATAAATACGATTGTTCCTCAGATCCAAACCCTCCAAGTTCTTAGACAACCCCACTTTCCCCAAATCAAAAGACAACGAGTTCTTCGCCAATCTTATCTTCTGCGTGTTCTTCCCCGACCCAAAAAACACCGACGCGTCACCCTCCAGCATGTTCCGTGACAAGTCCACAAACGCCAGATTCAACTTCGCCAGCGTCGCCGGAATCTTCCCGGAGAGTTGGTTGCGGGAGATCGACATCGACGTGAAAAGATTCGAGAACGAACCGTACGAGTCGGGGATGGGGCCGGAGAGGCGGTTGCCGTCGAAGGTGATGCCGACGAGTCTGGGGAGTGTGGAGATGGACTCAGGGAGGTTCCCAGAGAGGCTGTTATAAGAAAAATCAAGTGTAACGATGGATTTGATTTGGGAGAAAAATTCGGGTATGTTGCCGGAGACATTGGTGTGGGTGATATAGATATAATTGAGTTTGCTGAGTTTAGCAATGGCGGGAGGGATGGGACCCACGAGGTTGGGAATGCCAGAGATGGAGAGAAAGTCGATGTAAGGGAGGTTACCGATGGAAGGAGGAATGGGGTAAGGTTTGGCGAGGTTAAGGTTGGAGAGGTCGAGGTAGTTGACACGGTATGTTTGGTGGTCGGTGTCGCAGAGGACACCTTGCCAGGTTCGGTTGCAGCAATCGGTGGTTGGGAGCCAGGAAGAGAGGGAGGTTGGGTTGCCCAGTTCCTTTTTGAATTGGAGGAGAGCTTCCTTGTCTTGTGGGTTGCAGATTTCGGAGAGTGCAGTGGTGAGGAAGAGACATGTTGTTAGGCATAGGAGGGTTCTTGAGAATGAAGATGACATGGTTGCCATGTTGTGCTGAGATTTTATTTTATGGATGGTGTTCGTTTATATAGCCAATGCATTGGATAATATTGGTGCATAAAAAATTATATTAAATTAATTTTTCTAGTATTGCATAAAAATTTATTTTTTAAATAGACAGCTCATTGTTGCTATATTTTATTTTGTTAGTGTCAATGGTCATAAGAGTACAAAGAAAAATGTCAATAGTCATAAAGGTCATGCTTGTACGCGCCCTCAATGAGTTTGGATTATGACAAAATTTATATATACGTTTTTAAGATTTTTTTTATATTTTTAGTTAATATTAAAATTTTAATTTAATTGAAAATATCAGTACAAATATTTAAGAATTTATAGTTAAAATTTGTCTTTAGATATACGTTCAATTTTTCTTATATATATTATGTCTTTTTTATAAGAGCTGTATTTATGTTTACCCAAAAAAAGACAACTTTATTCTGAGCAATCAAAGCTTTATATTTGAGTAATTTTTAATAAAATTTAAATCGTACTTTATTTTTCTGTAAAAAAGACAATTTTTTAAGAAATTTATATTACTAAATCTTATGACATGCACTTTCTCAGTTTTATTTAATTTTTTAAGTAAAAATCTATTTAATTAATAAAATATTGTAGTTCATTTTAAATTAGTTTGAGAATAATATTTAATTCGAATAAACAAAGCTCAATTTTCTGCAATTTGAATTAGACTGATTATTTGGTTTTTATTTTATTTTTAAGAAATAATATTTTATTACTTATCAAAAAATACAATTTTATTAATTATAGTATAAATAGTTCATTAAAAAAATGTTATTAGAAATTATTTAGAATAATATAGACGTGTATTTTAAATTATTTTAGTTGACACCAGTATTGTAATATTATAAAAATTATTTGAGATGGTTTGAGATACTTTATCAGCTTAACACATGGTGTATTGTAAGTTAAAATTTATTTAAAGATAAAATAAAAATATATAAAGCTTATTATTCCTTATTCTTCAGTTCAGTTTTGTTTCTTTAAAGATCTTAACAAAAACTTCAAACTCCTGTTATAATTTGATACATAGCTAAGATTTGGTGAATTGGTTTCTTTAATATTTGAAAATGATTGAATTTGAACTTCGATAGCCCCAAATATTTGTCCAAGTTGCTCCTTTCAGCCAGAGGGTTAAATTAAGGAATTATAAGTTTTAAATAATAAGTTATATATATATATATATATATTAATATTATCTTTAAGGAAATTTTAACTTATAATACAACAAAATAACAAAAGAAAAGTACATTTTCTCCTTTGTCGAGAAACAACTTACTTTACTTTATTGGCTCAAATGTGTGTGACACAAAGCCACGTTATAAGAGACACCTATGAGTTCTACTGCAGCATGTCATGAAAGGCTCTTTTTAATATTTATACAATCATCCATCCACTTTTCTATAATAAAAAAAGAGAAACAAAGTAATTCAAATATTTTATTTCCTTTTTAATCGTAAAGTTTTAATATAAAAATTGCTACGGTGTTAAAATACCATTGCTTTCTTCCTTTTTTATCCCCCAAAAAGAATTAGAATAGTATAAAAATTGAGGTGAAGTTAAAATATCATTATCCTTCAAAGATTAGGCAAAACGCATCTGTGGGTAAGGATTGACATTATATATAGTGTGCCGATCTCCTATACAAAATGATTTTTTTAATAAATTTTTATAGATATATTAGAAATTTATAAAAAAATTAAAATTTTATATGCGATGATAACAAAATAAAACAACAGTTTTTATTTCTAAAATTTAAAATAAATTAAAAAAATATTATAACGAGACATATAATTAAATTTATAATATTAAAATGCTAATGCAATATTCTCTTCTAATGAAGAACTCAATTCTAGAAACCCTAGCCTCAATCACAAATAACGACAAAGAGTGATTAAGAAAGCCCCCTTCTATATCAACGTCTCCTTGATGGTCATCACTTGCATCTCATCTTTCCTTTGACTTCTTGCTTTATGTTCAACTGTTGGCCATGCTTCCATCTTCTTTTTAAATATAACAAGGTTAAAGAAGTTTTCTTAATAAGATAGAAAAAAATTCAAAATTGATAAACCTAAATACTATATTCAAAAAATGTTATAAATTATTAAAATATTTTTTTTATTAAATACTTTAGTTTAGTCAAACAAACCCTAAATTAAGTTATTAGCAAGTTATAAACAAACTCACATGCCTTCTTACCAATGATGCTTGGTATATAAAGAGTTTATCCTTTTCAGTGAGGACGTGCCTAATTTGCCATATCTCTTCCAACACTAGATATTATTTCTTCAGAACTTTTCACATTATGTTTGAGGGTTTGAAAAAAAAAAAAATATTAACCATAACTTTTTAGGATTACTTTTAAGTAATTAAAAGGAATAACTTTTTTAAAAAATTATTTATTATGTTAAAAATATATAGTATAGTACTAAATATTATTTTTGAACAAAAATTTATCATTTTTAAGTATTTAAGATCTGCTTAAAATGAATAAAAAAAAAACATTCTTAAAGGTTTCGCAGAAAATGTATTTCAGCCATACCACTAGGGTTCCATTAGAAGATCCCGATTTTAGGTCTTTTGACTTGAATTTTGGACATTGAACACAGTGGTGCAAGAGCTGTTGGCAACTACCCCAACTGGATCCTTGTCGGCGGAGAGGTCTCAATATAGGATTAGAAAATTTTCCTGTAATTCATTAGTTTAGTCTCTTAAATTATAGATTATTAATTTAATTATTAAAATTATGAAAAAGTGAGTCTTTGAAATTATTAAAAATCAATTATCATAATATCTTAAATTATAAAATTAAGTATTTTAGTTTTTAAAACTATAAAATCAATATATTAAAATATTAAAATTGATTATTTTAGTTCCTAAAATTATAAAATCAGTTATTTTAATTTCTAAAAATATAAATCACACATTTTAATTATTGAAATTATATATATATATATATATATATATATATATTAATTTAGTCCTTAAATTATAAGAAATCTTTAGTTATTGTAATCATTGTAGTCAAACTTCAGCTCAGTTTTTAAAATTATAGATATTATTTAATTAAGTTGTTGAAATTATGAAATATAACAGTGCATGAGAGCATGTGGATGGTCTAGCACCAAAGAGCCTCCGCGTGATAAAAAAGAACCCATGGCCGTAGAGAATGACTTGTAACCATGGAGGGGCTGCCCTATTAATTAGAGGCCAAACAAATTTTTTATACGGTGCAAAATAAATTTATTATAAATTTTATAAACCTTCTAATTGGTTTTAAAATGGGTTACAAGCTATTGATCTCTGTTTTCATCTTTCAGTAAATTTCAAGGCTAGTTTCTTTATCATTTTTTTTTTCATTTAAGAAAAGGAAGTTTGGTCTTCAAGCCGGCTTGGATTCATCTTATTAATAAAAATACATATTTTTAAAAAATTAATAAATGTTTTTAGTTAAATGTTAAATTTTTTGAAGGGTCATGCTAATACTTTTATGATATTAGTTAAATAATTACAACTAATTTTTTATTGAAAATAACTTTAGAATGTATTATAAATTATAAAAAAAATAAATAATTTTTTTTAATTTCTTAACTAGGAAAGTAGTTAGAATTTTTCGTTTTTTTAACTGTGGCAGTTCCAATGGCACAGTCTAAAGGCACCAATGTTTTGTTCATACACGTAAAAAGGAAAAAAAAATATCTCTTTTACAAAATAATGAAATACTATTTTGTCTATGAAAATGAATTACTATTTGACTTTTACTAAAAAAATAATTAAATATAATAGACTTAATTACACTTTTAGTTCTTATATTTTAATTTGTATTGAAGTTTTATATTAATTATAAAAGCAAACAAATAAAAAATTATAAAATTAAATGATCTTTATATATGAGCTAACTTTTCAGATTGATTGAGTTAGATAAAAATTCAAATGTAACTTTTACTTTTAATTTTTCTATTTTAATTTATGATTGATTTTTATTTTTTAATTCAATTATTCACAAATAGTTTTTATAATTTTTTAATTGTTAAAAATAAGTTTCTTGCTCTTAAATTTTATCTAACAATTAATCAAAATATTACAAAAATGTGATTTACAATCGATTTATATATATTCACTAAAAAAGTATACGAAATAAATAAATAAAAGTAATTTATTTTATTGGAAATGTGTTAATTTATTATTTTCATTTAAATATTATATAACATTTACTTATTAGTTTATAGAAATCAATAATATATTTTCCTTCCTATTATTTCTTTTGTCAATTATTGAACGTGGTTTTAATATGAAAAATTTGAAATTTACATAAGTTAAAATATAAAAAAAACAACTAAGCCAATATTAATATTTTAATTATATTGAACAATAAAATTGTCTCTTTATAAAACCGGGGGGACATTATAAATGTAGGGATTATCCACAGCCCACCGGGTGCCATACAAACTTGACCTTTATGACAATTTACATTACGGGAAGATGTTTTCTTCCATTTATTTGAATTAGAATGAATATGGATATTCATTTTAAATGGCACAATAATTACTATTGATAATTCATATAATCAACTCATACATATTTATTATTTAATTTTTAAATTAATATAATTATGTTATATTCCCTTGAATGGCACATGAGAGTACGGATTCACATACGTATGTGCCTCATCAGTGCCAATGGACGGAATAGAGCTAAGGGAACGTAAACATAATTGCGATTGTCAAGAAATAAGTTTTAATCAAAATATCCTTTGGGAATAATGGTTTGTAATTTAAGGAACACTCCATAAGAACTTTTTAACAAATATACGAACTGTTATTACATATTTAAAATAAAAAGATAAATATCATTGCGTGGCTCAAGATGTATTTTAATCGTTCTAATTTATATGGGTATGGAAGTTTTTACCTCCTTAGACGAATTGATTGCAGCAATAAAATAAGTAGCATCAATGAGCAGTCAGTGAAAGGTGAAATGTAATAATAGACGTAATCCACAGCCACAGGAGTAGCTATATAAATGTAACAATGTGCTAATGTTATGAAGCTGGGGGTCCTATGTCTGTATCCACTATATATATTCTTTCTTATTTATCTATATCTAAAAAGAGAAAAATATGTGATAACCAAAAACTTTAAATATTTATCTACTTACCTGTTTATTTAAATATTTAAAATAACATTAATTATTATTATTTTAATCTAATTTTAAATGTTTTAAATACTTATCCTATATGAGAGAAATAACAATAAAGGTCATATTAAAAAATTAATAATAATTTTAATCTAAATAAAAAAATTAATTATATTTTTAAATTTCTCTATTATTCAGTATATTAATAAAAGGAAACAAAAGGTGTAAATGTTGGAAGAGAATGAGAGAAAGTAACATGAAAGCTAAAAAGATACAAACACAACTTCTAAAATTGAAACTGAATAGTTAGAATTAATAAGCGTTCGAATCAAACGGAACAGAAACACAGGTCAAAAGCCAATTATTGGCAATAAAACCATGCACGTGAGACCTGGCAGAAGCGAAGAGCGAAATTGTTCAGTCTTTGCACAAAATTGTAAGATAAGAGATTAGGCTCTGTGCTTGCAGCTAGGAAGCGGAGAGCCACACAAACACTTGTTATGAGCATAGCGAGACACATCAAATCCCTGCAAGCTTCCACCGCTTGGAATCTCACCACAAAGGCTATTGTAACTCACATTAAACTCTGTCAAAAACTTGAGCGCCATCAATCCTCCAGGGAGCCTCCCATAGATGCGATTGTTGTTCAAATTCAGCGTCCACAAGTTCGAAGGCAACCCCACTTTTTCAATATCAAAAGCCAGCGAGTTGCTGGACAGCGTTATCTCATTGGTCCTTTTGTTAGAACCAAAAAGCATGGAAGCATCGCCTTGTAGCATGTTCCAAGAGAAGTCAACAGTGAGAAGGTTCAATCTCCCCAAGGACGCAGGGATTGTCCCAGAAAGTTTGTTACGCGAGAGCGTGAGATAGCTCATTTGGTTGGAAAAGTAGCCAAAGGAGTGAGGGATTGAGCCGGTGAGGGTGTTGCCGTCGAAACTGATTCTTTGGAGGTTCCTAAGGCCAGAGAAAAAGGAGGGGATTTGGCCAGAGAGTTTGTTGTAGGAGAGGTTGATGTAAACAAGGGTCTTTAACTGGGACAAAAAGTGGGGTAATTCGCCGTACACGTTGGTTTGGGAGATGGTGAGGAACTGAAGCTTTGGGAGCTTGGAGATGGCTAGGGGGATTGGACCACTGAGGTTACTGATTTGGTTGAGTTCGAGAATGTCGAGGTAAGGAAGGTCACCAATGGAGGAAGGAATGGGAAAGGGTTGGGACAGGTTGAGGTCGGAGAGGCTAAGGAAGTCCACACGGTGGTTGTTTTTGGGGTCGCACGCCACGCCGTACCAGATGCCGCAGCAGTCCGTTTGTTGGTCCCATGTTTGGAGCGTGATTGGGTCTCCCAGTTCTTTCTTGATTCGGAGGAGTGCTTTCTTGTCTTGCGGGTTGCATCTTTCTGAGAGTGCAGAAGCTTGAATGATGAAGTAGAGCATTATAAATAGGTAGCATATGCGGAACATGGTGATGGTATTGGTGGGAGTGGGATTTGATTTGGGTTTGTAGTTGAGGAGGTGTGGAGAATGGAAGGATAAGTGGTTGTCTTTATAAGTCAGGGATATGTATTTTGATTTTAAAAAAATGTTGCATGATTAGTGAATCATAGTTTGAATGATACAATACCATGTCTATTGGCTTGAAAACTGCTAGTTTATATATATTACTGTGAATTGACCAGGTCTTAGTTCTTATTTATGAATATATAATAAAATGTAATATTTTAATCTATATATATTGTACACTACTTGCAGGTTTTTTTTGCCTTTTTAGAGTTAATTTTAAAATAAAATACCAAAATAAGGCTTCATGTAAACATATTCCCGATCTGGGGTGGGCGAGTGACGTGGCAAGAGAGTCGTTCACAATAGGGACGACACATATGATGACGTGGCAAACTGTGAGAGTGTCGTCCCACCAGTAGCCGACACTCATATGACAGTGTCGTCCCATTATTAGACGACACTCATGAGATATTGACACGTGTCGCTTAATAAAGTTGTGTCGTCTATTTTTGGACGGTTTTAGTAGCATCTATAACAAAGACGACTCTAGTGCCGGCCCATGATACCCGATTTTAATGTGACCAATGGATAAAAATTTTGATATATTCTTTTATCCAACTTCAAATGTGTATAAATATGAACCTTTCACATTTTAACCGTGAAACTGAAGAACGAATAAGCTGCTGGAGAAGAAATTGTAACTAGATAGGCTGGAGAAGAAATTACAAGAAGAGCAATAATAAGGTTAAATTTTTTTAAGTATTATAAATATATAATTTTGTTTATTGGCTATTAAGAATTTATATTTTGAATAATAATATTTATTTTATATTTGGATAATATTTTAAGTGTTAATGTAGTAATATAAATTTTTTAAGTATTAAAAAAAATTTAAATATTTGTAATTACAAATTAATTTTTAAATATAATTTTATTATATTATAAATTTGGCTTATTTGTAATGCAAGATGAATGAAATTGTTGTTATATTATATTCAAATAGTAGAATATATGAAGGAAATGAGGATATAATTTTTGAAGGAGAAAAAAAAATGATTAAGATAGAACGTGACATCATTGAGCGACACGTGTCAACATCTCATGAGTGTCGTCTAATAATGGGACGACACTGTCATGAGTGTCGGCTACTGGTGAGACGACACTCTCACAGTTTGCCACGTCATCATATGTGTCGTCCCTGGTCTGGACGATTCTCTTGCCACGTCACACCCCAACTCCAGACTGGGAATATATTTACATGAAGCCCTGTTTTGGTAATTTTTTTTAAAATTTAACCCTAAAAGGGCAAAAAAGCCACTACTTGCTTGTGAAGTTTAGTCAACATGCATGCACCCTAATCTTCTTTCTTATCATACTCTTATTCCTTCCTTTCTTGTTTTTTTTTCCAAGGGAGAAGACTGATCCTGCGGGCCACGGTCAAGTTGTGGCGAATGGTGATGTTCAAATCTATCGAACTTTGACCCGAAAAATCTATCCATACCTTGAAAAGTAGGACAAGTCATATTTAATTCTATAGCATATTTTCATTATATATTAATATTAATAATAATAATAATAATTCATATAAAAGATTTATATTTTTTTTACGTTGGAATGATAAAAATATCATTTTTATAAGCCTCATTTACAAATCTAACAAACAAAGTGAACTAACATTTTTTTGCAAAAAATCTAACAAACACAAGAGAGAGACTCTATATATAAAAATCAAGTTATTATTTATAATCTTTAATTATAAAATGAAATATGAATTTTAACGTTAATTTTGATTATTGTTTGGTTTGTTTTATTTTTTCTCTTTATTTATAATATATATTATTCAATAATAAAACATTTTTGTTCTTTTTAGCTTGTAATTTCCTATACTGAATCCACAAAAGAGGTCCTATGTGCAGAAATGAAAGGGGGTCAGTGATTTTGGCTTAAGAAGACGATGCAACGGCAGCGACTTGGAGGAGGTTCGATCATACTCACGAGAAGCAGTGCTGTTTTAACACATAAAATAGGTGTTTACACTATATATTCAGTATTTTTTAGTGTTGAAATATTTTATATATAAGAGTTTAAATATTACTAATATAGTAAAAATTAATATAAAAAATATTTTAACAATAAAAACAGTGAGTGTATGGTATAGACACCCATTTTGGATCTTATAATAACATTTTTGTTTGGAATGTGGGTATCAAGTGACAACGGAAACTCTTGCTTCTCTCCCCTTTCTTTCTCTCTTTTATTTATGCAAATACAAGTGGTTTTTTTTTTTTTTTTAATTATTCTTATTTGATTGGTTGCTGGTTTGTATTTCTTATCCTAAGTTATTTGGGATTTTACTTTAGCATTTGCTTTGAATTGATTCATGTATTGCGTTCTTCTTATCTTTTATGCGAGAGAGAGAGAGGATAGTCCTTTAAATATTTTAAATATTGTTTATATGTAATTAATGTATTTTTATATTATAAATTTAACTTTGTACATTTTTAAAAATTAAATGTTAAATACTTTATATCACTTTAGTGTATTATCAGTATAATATTTTTAAAACATTATTAACTAATTAGATTGTATAATAAATGCAAGTTTTAAAATAATTATAATAAAAATAGTTTGTGATTAGATGATGATATAAAAAATATTTGATCCTATCAAATAAAATTTAATTAAATTTATCAGTTAAAGATTTTTTTTTACAAATTATTTGCAATAACATTTATATTTTTATAAATAAAATTAAAACTAGTTATTATTATTTATTTAATTGTGCCCTTAGTCTTTTAGTTTAAATTATCTATAATTTTAGTTTTTCATGTGTTTTTTAATTAATTAAGTCTCAAAAATTGAAAACAGAAAAAGTGAAACAACGTGTATATAAAAAGACATAAAAATTAATAAAACGAAACATTTATAAAGATACAAACCCAACTTCCAATTGAAATTGAACAGTTATAATAATAAGCATTGAAATCAAACGGAACCGAAACACAGATCAAAAGGCAATAATTGCCAATAAAACCATGCAAGTGGGACTTGGTTCTTGCATGGTTTTACACAGAAGCGTAAATTAGATATTAGGTTCCCTTCTTGCAGCTAGGAAGCGGAGAGCCACACAAGCCCTTGTTATGAGCATAGCAAGACACATCAAATCCCTGCAAAGTGCCACCCTGTGGAATCTCACCATAAAGACTATTGTGACTCACATTAAGCTTCGTCAAAAACTGGAGCGCCGTTAATCCTCGAGGAAGCCTCCCAAAGATGCGATTGTTGTTTATATCCAGCGTCCACAAGTTCGAAGGCAATCCCACTTTTCCAATATCAAAAGACAGCGAATTGCTCGACAGCGTTATCTCATTAGTCCTTTTGTTAGACCCGAAAAGCATGGAAGCATCGCCTTGTAGCATATTCCAAGAGAAGTCAACACCGAGAAGGTTCAGTCTCCCCAAGGACGCAGGGATTGTCCCAGAGAGTTGGTTACGCGAGAGAGTGAGATATCTCATTTGGTAGGAGAAGTAACCAAAGGAGGGAGGGATTGAGCCGGTGAGGGTGTTGCCGTCTAAGCTGATTCCCTCGAGCTTGCTAAGGCGTGAGAGAGAGGAAGGGATTTGGCCAGAAAGTTTGTTGTAGGAGAGGTCGATGTTGAAAAGGTTCTTTAACTGGGACAAAAACTCTGGAATTTCGCCGTAGACGTTGGTTTGGGAGATGGTGAGGAACTGAAGTTTTGTGAGCTTGGAGAGGGCTTGAGGGATTGGACCAGTGAGGTTGGGGACTTGGTTTATTTGAAGCATGTCGAGGTAAGGAAGGTCACCTATTGCGGAAGGAATGGGATAGGGTTTGGACAGGTTGAGCTCGGTGAAGAAAAGGTAGTCCACACGGTGGTTGTTTTTGGGATCGCACGCCACGCCGTACCAGATGCCGCAGCAGTCCGTGTTTGGGTCCCATGTATCGTACGTGTTTGGGTCGCCCAACTCTTTCTTGATTTGGAGGAGTGCTTTTTTGTCTTGTGGGTTGCATTTTTCTGAGAGTGAAGAGGCTAAAATGGTTGTGCAGAGGACTACAACTAGGAAGCATGTGCGGGAAATGGTCACCGATGTCATTGGTGAAAGATGATGATGGTATTGGCGGGGGTGAAATTTGATTTGATTTGAGTCTGTTGTTGTTGAGGAGGTGCGGAGAATGAAAGGATAGTTAAGGGGTTGTCTTTATAGGAATGGGATATGTCGCATGGTTACTGAATTTTAGTTTCAATAGTACAATACCATGTCTATTGCCGGAAAGCTGCTAGTTGTTATATATTACGGTGGATTCACCTGGTCTTAGTTCAGTACTACAATACCATGTCTAATGTCTATTGGCTGAATACTAAATTCATATTTTAATCTACATATATTATGTACTACTTTCTCGTCGTGAAACTTGAGTCCAACATGCCCACAAAAGTTACAAATAAAGATGAGACATGTCGTGCTACGAAAGTTGACTTAGCATGTCACCAGAGTTTATCTTTAACACCGCTACTTTTTTTGGTTTATTTTATTTTATTTTCTTTGTCGGAAAAATAAATTATACAAAAATGCCATAAAAGTATAGTTTTTAAATAATTTATTAGAGTAAGCAAAAGTGTCACTATGGCTGAAGAGGTGCCACATGAGAGAAGTGTATCTTACGTAAAAATTAAGTAGAGGAAATTTATTATTATATATAGACATAGATACTTTTCTACAATTATGATTAGCCTTTTATATTATAAAACGGTGCAATTTTTTAATGACTTAAATAAATGTAAATCGTGTTTTCTCTTCTCTTACAGTTTCCTTTTTCTTCTTCTCATTCTTTTGCATTTTTTTTTTCATTTTTCTTCTATTACTTAAAAGTCAGTCAACATTCTCATCCTTTACCTCCAATGGTTTAGGACTATCTCCAATGTTTTTAATGATCTTTTTGGCTATTCAGCTAATGCAAGGTCATAATATTGATAAAACCAGTCACACCAGCATAGAGTAGAAAAGGAAAACATATAGCAAAAGAAGAATAAGTAAAAGAAGGAGTTTTGTCTAGCTAAAGCTCTACTCTGGTGATAACAAACAAGTGGAAAATATTTGATTTGCTTGAAGTTGACAAAGTCCTTTGTGTTTTTATTTCTATGCATTTTGAGTGAATATGGTACGTATTTTGATGATCATGTTTTAAATTATTGTTATATCACTCTTGCTAGAGATTACTATTTCCCATGTCCCAGGTAAGTTTCAATTTCCAATACTTGATTTAAGTATTTGTTGCCCTAATATTTCGAAACTTTAATCTTATTATTATTTTAAAAAAAGTTATGAAAATTTTGCACAATTTTTTTTGTTTCATAATTTTTTATATTATTTTTTAATATATAATTTTGGAATATATTAAAAATTATTTTAAAATTCAATTTTCAAAAGTGATCATCGTGTTTGAAAACTAATTTTTAAGTAATTTATAAATCATCTTTCAAAAATAAAGTTTTGAAAGAATGGTTTATATACTCTGCAATTAAAACTCTGGAAGGATTTTTAAACACTTCTATAATTATAATTTTAGAATATATTAAGTATTATTTTAAAATTCAATATCTTAAAAGTGATGAAAAAAATAGTGTGACTAATATAAGAAATTACAAAAAGTAATTTGGCAAAGTTACCTGTGACAGCGTAGGCCTTGGACTTCAGTCCATTTACTAAATGGGCCTTTTGGATCCTTTCCATTCAGGTTCAAGAGCTAAACGACGGACTAGATTTCAAAGCGGGCCGTGGTGTTATTATCACTAAAAAACCATTGCTCTGATGGTATACATGTTTATTTTGCCAAAGATTATTATAAGTTATTCTTGAATTTAGTGTTGCAAAGTGCAAGTTTCACATAACACATCATTAAGTCCACTAAAAAAAGTGTCAGTTTGGATCATTCATTTATAAATAAATTCATATTATATCTATAAATAGACAAGGAAGGTGCAATTAGCAATTTAGATTCTTAGCCGTCACAATATATTTAGCTCTACATTTTACTTCCTTGGAAATGTTGCCAAGCCCAAAATATATATAGTTATTTGAGTTTTGTCATATATTTTTTTATAATCTTCTTAATAGTTATTTTACTATTTTATTAAATATTCTCTTCAATATTTTTATATAAAAATTAACAATAAATATTTTTTAGTTGTAATTTAAAAAATATAAACATATTGATTATTAAATTCATTGTATACCTTATGAAATTTGAGTTAACGAGACATTCATTTAGTACTTATATAAGTAAATAATTTAATTACTTAATTTATCAGTCATTAATTTGACTATTTAATATCATACATATTTTTAGAATATAATATAAAATTATAACATGTAATCATTTTTTATTCATCTTGATGATTTTCTTAAAACTTTTTGTAAAAAGGATTGAACATAATAAATATTAAATAACAAAGTGTATATATTATTATTTTAAAAATATTTAATATTTACAAAATTTATAAATGTAAAAAGTAAGAAGATTTAAATTATTTTTATGTTTTATATGTTACCTATTCAACCGATAGATGTAATATAAATAGAAAGCTACATGCATAGGTTGTGGAGCGCATGGAAAAATGTACGCAATACTGTCATTTTATTTGCGGAGTAAAAAAAAACAGCACTAAATTGTCACACAGACACATAAAGAACACAAGGTAGCGGATAATAAGAGAAACATAAGCAACAAAGCTTGCATTGCATTGCATTGCGTTTTCCCCTCATGTTATATAAGTAAGAGAACAAGAACCAATCTTTATATTGTTCTACCCTATTTATTCTTCATCATCTAACGTCAATTTCATATCGGCGAGGGAAATCTCAAATCTCGGAACCTTTCTTTTTTCATTCTAAGAATAATCCAACACGGCAAGGAGAGGCTTAAAATAACTTTACAATTCCCACTTGAAAAGACGAATGGGCTAGCCTCATCCTTTTATTATCAATCTACTCACTGAGGGTTTGAATATCATGTGTCTCTAGGAATTAATTGTTCTAACTGTTGAAATCTTCTGTTCCTTAGCTTTCTGTCCCATCCACCAATATTCCAAAAGGAGTGTGAGACTCATTGGGTGTGCTTCCAATCAAGCAGCACTGCCATAGAGCCCCATTTTTATTCCACTAATCTATCTCCCAGACTGTTGTGGTGCTAAATGACATGGAATAAAAAAAAAAGTAGAAACAATTAAGAAAAGTGGTTTTTTGATCTCAAATTAATCTCCCCCACAAGACATATTTTAAATCAAATCCCATGATGACCATCAACTTCAAAAGAAAAAAGGTTTTTGTGAGGGAGGTGTTGCTTTTCATTCAAGGTCTTATATTACATGACGTTCTTCTTCAAATGAGGTGGCACTTAATTAGTTGGTGCTGTTAACATTAGGTCCAATCAAAGAGATTGTATGAATCTAAAGCTTTGGATTCCCTTTGCTGATCATCAAATAGGTTCAGCGAGTGTGCTTCAATTTCTCCCAATTCTGCAAACAGGTCCTGATCAAGTTGGTTGCACTTCACCTTAGATATTGGCTTGTAAGAGAGTGCTCCTTTACTGAATTCTCCATCTTCCATCTCAAGGTGTTTCTCTTCCTTCACACATGCACTGTTATTTGGTGGAGACACATTGCTGTCACTGTTGCTCTCCTCTTGTTGATCTTCCTCATTTCGGGGCTGAGAAATAGTTGTTCGTGAAATCTTTGAAGCGGGAACGTTATTGTTCTTGGAAAGTTGTGAACGGGTTGAACCAGCAAGAGAATTTCTGTGAGTTGGCCATGGATGGTTGTGCTCTGAAGTGTAAGTAATGACCAACATGTTTGGGTCAGTTCTACTCCTCTCTACTTGTTTCCTTGCAGGGCAACCTTTTGAGCTGCTGCATCTATAATAACCCCTACATGTGGTGGTAACAAGATAGAAAGATGAGAAAAGATATAACAATACCCAAATCATAACGAGAAAGAAAAGAAATTTTATCACCTGCAGCAATGACATAAATGTTACGGACCAAAATAATTGCATGACGTGAGAACAGTAAATTTATTTGTACACGAAAATGAGAAATTGTAAATGTTCAATTACTCATAATTTTTTTTAACAATAAAAAGAGAAGAAAAAGAGGATATACATGATAACATAATTGATGTGATTACAAAATGATGTTATATATAAGAAAGATTATACAAATAATACAATTCTTTAAAAATTGGTCAAAGAAAACTTCATGAGGACATATATGCTAACATAGTCGTACTTTAGCTAGATGTTTTTTAAACTTCAATGTACGAGACCACATATTAGGTGCGAAGAAATAATGGAGGAATACAAATATGAATAGCAATCTCTAGAGATATGATATAACTTTTTCCCCTTTTCTTATAGTTACTGGTCTTCAGACATCGGATTAGAGTTAGGTGTAACAATTATGAGCAGTAAAATTCTCTTTACTAGACTAAAATTTCTCTTTGTTAGTTATTTTGTGTTTGGTGGAAATAACTCAAAGTTGAAAATTTCTGTTTTTTTTTTTGTTGAAGTATTTTTTTATTGAAAAATAGAAAAGAAAACACGTATAATGGATGAATATTTTAGATTTTACTAAGAAGGTTACACTATTTACTTGTAATATTGCCCATAGTTTTTTCTAAAATGATTTGGCTAATTGTTATCATGTATTGCACTTAAAACTTGTTTTTTCTTGAATTCTTATACATTAACTTATCTAAAGTGCAAAAAAAAAAAAAAGATAAAGATTATTCATCTTTGATTTAAAATGAATTACTTCAATTTAAATCATGAATATGTATACAATATCATTAGTTTTTTCGTTTTACATACTTTATTTCCCTAATTAAATTAGTTTGACAGTATAACTATGATATTTCCTAGAAAGATCACCCTATACCAAACTTACCTTGGATAAGGAGAACCTTTAATGGGTTTCTGACCATATTTTCTCCAAGCCCACAGATCAGAAGGAACTACCTCTCCACTTTGTTTGCTGTTTGGAGCCGCTGGTGCAGGAACACAAATGGACTTCTTTGCCTGGCTCTTCCTGCAAGTAGAGAAGAGTATCGGTTACACAGTTCACTCTTCAACTTTTAACTAAGCAACGCATATTACACACGCGCGCATAATTTATAAGATATAGAATGTTTAAAAGTAACTCCATATACCATATTAACCCAGGGTGTTTAAACATTTTGGTTTGGTTTAATTCCACTGAAATAACTAGTGGAAGTTTTGTGGCCAACATAGGGGATACGGTTTTATTTGATGATCCAAAGAATAGGACTCATCAGGTGGGTTTGCAAGAAAAGTAGTTTACCATAAACTTTCTTGAAAGCTCAGTATGTGACTGTTATGGTGACACCTATATAGCTAGCTCTACTTTTCAGGTGGATTAAACCTATAAAGGCTTCGTGCACCATGTTTAGTCCTAATCACAATGAACTGTTTTCAACCATGATACTAATTACAATCACCTTAGTTCTAAGGACCAGAGGCAGTTAACCAACATATTTGGAAAGCAAAAACAAAAGAATTATCTCACTCATGCCAAACCCTACTCACCATGATTTCATGAAAATTCAAGTTCCCAAGGATGCATGTGATTAATTCCATCTGCCAATTTATTTATGATGCCTATGTAAAATTAATCAAAAAATGTGAATTCAACTCTTAATTTAATTAACTCAAATCTTGGAACCTGTTCTCCATTTAATTCAGTAATTAATTAAATATTAATTAATTAATATCTCACCTTCGCTTAAAACCTGGATACCGTGGAGATGAGATCTGCACTTGTGTGTTGTCCCCCAAGCAATGATCTTTAGAGGTCTTTGCACTGTTCATCTTACCTGAAGCCACAGTAGAAGGCTTGACTACCCTTGACAAAGTATCCATCACTGGCGAGATGGGTAACTCAGCATTGGAAGAGATCTGAATCATATCATCCTTCATAATCTTTTGTGCCAAGACACAAGTATTACCACTACCAACACCACCAAAACAAGCTACTTCTTCCAATCCCCCAGAACTGCTAATTTCCACAGAACTTGCGCTGTTAAAGTGGGCAGAGCCAAGCATGTCATCAAACTCATATAGAAAGGGATCTCTCATGTTTGAGAATGGATCACCGAAGTTACCACAAGGGTCTTCCAAAATGGAAGAGAAATTCATGGAATCAGAAGAAAACTGCCAGTGATCAATAGAAAAAGGAGCAGCTTCAGATGAAGAAGTGCCTGTGCTGCAGCTGCGATATGATGCACCACTGGCACGGATTATGTCAGTTAAATCACCTTGATAGCTATCCATAATTGAGACAAAGATATTGCACATGCTTTTCCTCAGTGAAAAAGATTTATGTTGGAGGAAAGCAGTGTCATGTTTTGAAACATAGATTGCTTGGAGAGTCTAATTTACAGACTTTAACAGACGTACAAGAGACATGCAAATCTAGAAATTTAGTTGTATGCGTATATATATGGGTTGTAAGTTTGGTTACGTCTTATGAGAATGAAAACTTTGTCATGAGGAAATGGGATTTATTCTGGTTTACTGAGAGGCAAGAAAAAGCAAGTGAACAGGTTTTTGGAGGTTGAAAACTGACTGTTACTTTTTCCAAGTACACACACAGAAGAGAATTGAGAGACACGGACGCTGACTTTTAACACAAAAGGGCTCCATTGCTTCATTTCATACGCAACAATTTTAAATAACATAAAAACAAAACATGGTAGGACTAATGAAACAATCGACGATGTGGGATATGGCAAAAAAAAAAGGATTATTTCTACATCTCTTTTTTTTTTGTACGGGTGAAAAGAAAAAAAGAAACGAATTAAAGAGAGGTAAAATGAAAGATGAAATTAATATATAATGTGACATAACATAAAAATAGAAATAAAAATGAGATAAAAGAGAAGTGAAAATATTATATATGTAGATGTATAGTAAATATCATCGTTGTATAATGCCACTCGTATATCAAATTTACATAGTTTTATAATTTAGAAGAAAAATAAGAAGAGAAAAGAGTAAAGTGTTGAATAAGTTGTTATATAAGGATAACAATTGGACTCGTGTATCCATAAAAATGAGTAGGGTATTTACCTATCGAATGAGTCAAGATCGAAGTACAGTAATTAGTCAAAAATTTATTAACATCTATTTTTATTTATCTATTTAAAGAGAAAAATTATTCATATTTATTTATTTAGGCAGAAGTTTAAGATAATATTAATTATTATTTTTTATTAATGTTATGTGTTTCATATAGAGTATTTATAATATTTAAGCAGTTCAATAATAAAAAAATCTTAATAAACAATAAATTTATAATTAAGTTTAAAAAATAATTTTAACAAAATTATTAGATTTCTTAACATGCGTATTTGTTTTTGTTTTTGTTTTTGAACAGATAAATAATAACGACAGTATTTTGTAACTATAAAATTCAAACTTTTAAAATTTTTTAATTAATTTAATGAATTTTATTTATAAAACCCTAGGCCTTGTAAGTGTATAGAAATATGGATTGAATTAAAAGCATCCAACGACTTGCATTTGTTCTGGATTTGAAAATGTAATGGATGGCTCAGATTGTTGTTTGAGAGAAATGGAGACAACTCTTGCCGGAGAGGATCCGATCCCTAGAAGAGATTCAATGCTTTGAAGGGTTAATCAAAACCTCAATACTAATTGATTTTCCTTTAATAAGGTGGCAGTATATGTGGAATCATATAGTTTGGTCATTAACGAGCAATTTGGATATGTTATAATAATAAAAGATTGGTTCCATACATGACAAAATTTGTCATAATAAGGATTAGAGGACGGGTGGTGTTCCAAATTATTATGCTGTTTTACTTAAAGATAAAAAAAAAAAGGTAATTAGTGCTAAAATCATTTCATATGCTTAATTATATAATGGAGAGGAGTAGGGAGGGCGCTACTTAAAATTCATTGTAGAGTAATGGATGAATATAAAGATTGATAAAAGGGTAACTGTAATTAAAAATTTGGAATCGGAATCACTTATATATTTTTGATGAGAATCAAGGAAGACCCATTGAAGACAAAGACTTGAAGGCATTAGAAGAGTTTCAAGGACCAATTACAAGGGTAAGGACAAAAAGAATAAATAAAAACTTAGAAAAGATTATTGCTATCTTATTTGAAAGAGAGCTCAATTTAGAGTTAGAAAAGCCCAAGATAATCAACTATATATGCTTGGAAGATTTGAACTCTAACGAGTTTTATTAGGATTTAATTATTATGTTTAGTTTATTTATTTTAATATTAGTCATTACTTATTTTGAGTTATTATTTAGGATAAAATCTTATTATTTTATTTAGTTTATTTAAATTTAGGCTTGTTGGTACAAGAAGCCCATTAGGGTTTAGGTTAGTATTAGTTTACAAGCATTAGACATATATAAGCTCTTTTAAACACACTTTTAATTAGTTTTGAATACAATTTGAGATTGAATACTCTTGTGAGAGCGTGTGACTCTAGGTTCTTAAGTGAGCCAATTTTATTTGATTTTATCAAGAAGTTAAGACTCTTGTGGCGATCGTTCCTTGGCTTATCAATCTTGCGATTGTGGCGCCATTTTTCATCTCTATTCTATTTTTACTTTTTATTAATTTTCTTCTTATTTCAATTCTTATTTGTGCCTTAATAATTTCGTTTTTATTGTGTGAAATCTAATTCAAGATCGTTTAATTCGGTGATACTGTGGTTGTCATCAATTTTAAACTTTTTTTTTTGTCATTGTGTAGTTTGGATTTGAAGATTACAGAAGCAAATAAAGAAGCATTAGAAATGGGGCTTAAAGGGGGAAAAATGGACCATTATCAATATATAAAGAGGAGAAAGGGTGATAATCAATAACTTAAGTTTGGTTACATCCAAGGATAGTCTTTTATTGCCAAAGTCGAGACTGACATGGTTGAGGGATGGAGCTCCAATTTAAAAAAATTTTCATTGTTGTGTTAATTATTAAAAGGAAAAAGGCGAATGAAATACTAGCTTTAAAACTTGAAGGAAGAAGATTAGAGTTGAAATGATTCATATAATGGTGCAATCAAAGGGTAATGTGAAAAACACTTTGAGAATCAAGAATGGGAAGACCATTTTTTGGAGAATATGGAGTTCAAGAAGTTAGATGAAGTAGAAATAATATACTAACAAAACCTTTCACGGAGAAGAAGATTATGACAGCAATTTAGGAATGCGAGAGTTCAGAGAGTTTAAGTTCAAATTGATAGTGTGAAGTTCAATTTCATTTTTAAAAAAAAATTGGAAGATAGAAAGGGAAGATTTCACTAATTTCTTAAAGGAGTTACATGTCAATGAAAAGCTTGTTGAAGGGTCTTATAGTTCTTTCATTGTTTTGATTTATAAAATAGACACCCTTCAAAACAACTAATGATAGACCTATTTCTTTAATTGGTTATATTTATAAGTAGATCGCTAGATTGCTATCAAATAAGTTGAGAAAAATTATGGATTGGTTCAAGATTTGAAATTTTTTTGTTAACTCAATCTCACTCAAAGTTAATTTTAACAGGTTTGTGTTTTAAAGTTTTGATTAAACATATTTTAATAAATTTAACTTATATTTCGGGTTGATCCAATTTAATCGGATGTCTAATATTTTAACAAATAATATAAAATAAACAACTTAAAAAAATAAGATATTTATTTGATAATAATTTGAATATTTAAATTTTTTGATATTAAATAAATTCTTCAACGACATTAAAAGAGTCATTGTGTTAAGTGATATATTAAATAAAAATATTTAAATATATCACATATTATATTTTTTATAAATTTAGTATTATATAAAAATTAAATTAATTTAAGGTAAATATTTTTATATTATTATTTTTTTATTAATAAAATTTAAAATTTTAATTGAATAAAACATTTTATCATAACTAATTTTTTTATATTCACTTATCACTATTATTTAACTCATAAAATAGTCATTTTATTATTGAAATATAAAAAATTAAATTATACAAATTTTTTAATATTATTTTTAATAGAATTTATTAAAAAAATATCAAAGTAAAAATATTCGATAGGTATTATGATTAATATATTATTCTTCCATAATAATATATTATATAAAAAAATAATTTGATTAGTAGAAGTATTATTATATACTATCAAATCATCAAATGTTAGTGTAATACATTATTTATTAATACAAATCAGTATAATTTATACTAACAATTTATTTTTGACAAAAATTATATTAATAAAGACTATAATTTGAACACTTAGCTGTTCTTGTTGGTATATTCTTACGTGCTCCTGTTCAATTTTATAAGTAAAAATTTTAATAAAGTAATGATTTTTAATAAATAAATATAGTTAATTGTCAATGATTAATCTAATTTTATATTAAATGAATGATTAAGATTTAATAATTTTAAAGTAAATATTTTGAATAATAAATTAATAATAAGTTGATGAAGAGCAAACCAGTAAATTGCTGCTTCTATTATTTTTATTTTTATTTTTCAATTTCTCTACAACTTCTCTTTTTTTTTTTTATCTCTCCTCTTAACTTCTATTTCCAACTAGTTTGTTTTCAAAACAAGTAAAGTTGAATAATTATTATTTGTTACCTATATCTATGTTTGACCCACTCCAACTAAAGAAAAGTATTTATTATTACTTGGTCAGAACTCCATTTAGGTTGGATAAAATTCTAATTTGTTGATGTCATCGAGGACAAGTTGGAGTTTTGCAATGAATGAGTTGATTCAGGCGAGTTGAACATGACAAGAGATTGCAATGAATGAGTTGACTCAGGCGAGTCGAACATGACAAGAGATTGACTATTTTCTACCCCATTTTTTTAAATAAACTGATGTAGTAAGTGTTACTTTCTACATTGGTTGCTTTGAAGAACTGATGTAGAAAGTAATGAAAAATTTTATATTTTATTGCTTTTGATATTGTAAACTTTGAAGTAGGATAATTTTTAGTATAAAACTTCTATCTATAGGAATTATATACTTATTTCATATGACTTTTTGAAGTGGGTTTAGACAAACTTTTATTTTTTAAAATTCTAATATTTTCTACTTTTTAGTGTGTACATATATAGTAGAAAAAGTTTTGCCATTTGCAAATTTTCAATAGTATGAATCTAATTTATAGTCATAGAGCAAAATGAAAAGTGACAGTGATTAACTTGTAGTCGCTGGTAAAAGGTAGAGAATAAACAAATTTATGTTTTGTGAATAAGAATAAAAGAAGAGAAGAAAACTAAATGCATCAAATTATCAAT